TCATTTACATGCTGGTGGAGATGTTTTTGTTCACTTTTAAGATGCAGATTAGCAGGCAACACTCTATATTGTTCTAATGCTTTTACTGGGGCTTGACCCTGCTGACCGCAACTTGTCTGCTCTATGGGCTTAGTGCCCACTCGAGATTCTACTATCTCTTTCGTCCTCGCTGGCTGCCGAAAGGGACACCACTCAGAGTGCAAGCGTTTCGATCATACATTGCGGCTTTAGACTTGATGATTAAGACGTTGCTTATCGTTGTCGTTGACTTTTTGGCTAAGGTCTCGGCGTATGACAACCTGGTGAAGCTGGCGGTCATTATCTTTGGTGTCAGACGCTGAAATCCTCAAGCGTTTGTATTTTGTACGGATATACGTGCCTTCGATGTCTGATGTGAGCGAAACTAATCAAGCAGATGATGATAATTGCCGCTTCACGCCTCACAAGCGCAGCGAGGAGTATGTCTGCCCACAATTTACTGGGGAAGGCTCAGGTTCACAATCGGCCCTTTCAGCTCTAGCAAACGGCACGCTAAAAGGACGCAGGAACCCCTCACTAAACTGAGGAGTCGACCTCACCTACTTCTAGGAATGGAGTTTCTTTTCCATCGTTCCCTTTGCTCCTGGAATCTCAACCTGCGAAAGGTACCAAAGGGCCCCAGCCCTTGACACGGAGCCTGAAGTTGGATTCTTACCATGTCTGCAAAGCCGAGGCCAAAGGTGGAGGAGAAGGTATCATCGCATCAAAGGGATCATCAACTCGACGACGAAAATCTAACGCCAGATGAAGAGTATCCTCACGGAAAAGATTTCGTGGCCATTGTCACGGCGCTTCTGCTCGCTTTCATAATCGTCGGCTTAGTGAGTTTCTGTATGGACCTCTGCCCATTCAGGCCGAACTAATCCAGGCTCTACAGGATTACACAGTGCTGGCGACGGCAGTACCAACAATGACAAAACACTTCGGCACCATCGAAGACATCGGTTGGTATACTTCGGTCTAGTCGGTCCCCCTTTGGGATGAATCCCCTGTATTAAGTCTTTGCCTGACCACGATCTAGTCGATTGACCGCTAGCTCATTTCAATTTCTGTTTGGGAAGTCGTATACCTTGTTCCCTGTGAAAAGGATCTTGGTGATTACCTTGGTCCTCTTCGCTGGGGGTGTTTTGGCATGTGCCCTGGCACCAACATCACCCTTCTTCATTATGGGAAGAGGTGTCACAGGTTTCGCCGCCGCCGGCGTCATAGCTGGCGCCTTTTCGTGAGTCAACCAAAGTTGGCAAATCATTGCTGTACAAAAACAAACAAACAAATCCCTCTCTAATGTGAGATCCAGCATGATCATACGAAGTTTTCCTCTGTCGAAACGATCCATCTACGCCGGTATCGGCGGCGCCGCTGAGGCGACTGCCTGTTTAACAGCCCCTCTTATAGGTGGCTTCCTCACTGATCGCCTCTCATGGAGGTGGTGCTTCTACGTTGAGTTGCCACTAATCGGGGCAGCTTTCATCATTGTGGTCTTTTTTTTCAACCCCAAGAAAGATCCAAGCTCGCCTTCGACATTTAGAGAAAAGCTTGCGCAACTAGATTTGCTTGGTATGACTTTTTTTGTCCCGTCCATCACGTTTCTCATGCTGGGCTTGCAATGGGGTGGCACCAAGTATGGCTGGCAAGACTGGCGTATTATCGCAATCTTCTGCGTCTTTGCAGTGCTGCTCCTCTTGTTTTGTTGGCTTCAATATCGGAAGCAAGACTGTGCGACACTGCCGCCCCGCATCGTGTCTCAGAGAAACATCATATTTGGCTTCATATTTAGCTGTTGCAACAACGCTGCATTATCGATCATCGAATATTATGTGAGTCTTACCTCTTTCCATTGAGCACGCAAGCCACAGACCCCAGTCATGAGGTTTTCAAGCGCTCGCTTCGACTATCTTATGTGTGGACCATAAATCTGACTCCAGCAGATGCCTATTTACTTCCAGGCGGTGAAAGGTTTGTCGGCGTCGATGTCCGGGGTCATGGTTCTCCCGGTCGTTGCGGGGTTGGTTCTGTCCGTCTTCTCTTCAGGCGTGCTGACATCACACTTGGGGTACTATACTCCCTTCATGCTGTCAACCAGCATCATAACGCCTCCAGCTGTAGGGCTAATGACCACTCTGGGTGTGGACGCGACACTCGCCAGTCTCATCGGCTACCAGGCGCTTCTGGGGTTCGGAGTCGGAATCGGGTTTCAGGGCCCACAGGTGGCCGTCCAGACGATTCTGCCTCAGAAGGATACACCAGTTGGCATCGCTTTCATCCAGTTCGCTCAGGGCATCGGACCTGCGGTGTTTGTGGCGGCTGCGCAGACCTTGTTTACACAAAGGCTCGCTCATAACATCAAACATTTCGCTCCAGAGGTGGACTACACGTCCTTGAGTCGCGACGGTCTGGTTAACTTGAGTTCATACGTCAAGGCACAGTCCCTTGCTGGAGCCATTCGCAGCGTCAGCACAGCTGTGATGCAAACATTCTACCTCCCAGTTGCTCTCTCATGCATGACTCTTGTAGGCGCTTTGGGGATGGAATGGCGATCCGTCAAGAAGAAGCATGTATGAACAATGGGTGCTGTGGTTGCTGACACTTGGTGTTGAGAGCGGAGAGAGTGCTCACATCAGTTCAAAGATTCGAATGGGGAGGAAAATATACCTGGGTATGTGAGGAGTCTGCTCAAGGGTGGGCACAAACAACATTGGCGCAAGGTCGTTTCAATAGCATCCAGTGCCTAACAGAGTCTACCACAGCAGCCAGTTATCGAGGGTTTCAGACTAAGCTGCGTGATATCTCTCCTTTGTCTTTACGGATGTCACAATTCTGCTGCCTTCCTCTTTCATGGTCGGTGACGGATGAGACTTTACAGACAACAATGGCATACGTAGTCATCTGGTGTTGGGGCTAGGCCTTGCTTTGAAGCTAGACACCGTTAATCGATAAGAGGCCGAAGCTATATATTTTCCCATCAACTGCTCAACCGCTCGCCCGGGAGGGCTTCCACACACTGACCATGTCCGTTCCTCGGCCCTGGCTGTATGATCTGTCCGGTTTGTAATACTGCACTCTCTTGAACGGCCCTTCTTCACCTCGTTGTCCCGCCTGTTTCTCGCCGGCCAACCCAGAGCCATGGAGGATCCCATCGCCACCGTCGGCAAGGAGATCCCAGTACACACCATTGAGGCCATAAGGGGGCCCGATGGCATCAAGGTCTTTCCACAGGGGGAATTCCAAACAGACCAAGATCCCCGTTGGGGACAATAGCTCCTGCATTCGTCGCGCCCAGTTTCGACGCAGGGGCGGCGGTATTGCGCACAGGAACTAGACAAAAACGTGGACAATCAGTCAAACAACCCGAAACGGATCGATGCCTGTGGCTTTCCATGACAGCGGGGCAGTATAGACGAGGCACGCGCATTGTGGCTTACTGTGTAATCATAAATCAAGTCAAAGCCTTGGAATACCTCGCCTTCCCCCAGACAGCTGCTCGTCCAGTCCGACTTGAAGAAATCTCCCTGCACGAACTTGACCGTGCCGTGGCTATGGCTGACAGAAGGTTGACGGCTATGGCCTTGGTCCAAAGAGTCCTCCGCGGACGGGTAGTGATGACGGCTCAATTCGGCTTCGGCGTAGATGTTCGCCGCGGACACCGCCGTCGGAGAGACTTCAAGACCATAGGCATCGAAGCCGTGAAGAGCGAGCATGACGACGTCGTACCCGCGTCCGCATCCCTATATATTTCGACCACAGTTTGCGCGTTAGCACGTGTATCGCAGAACTTGCCCCTTGGGCCTTCCAGAGGGTGGGGGGGTGTGTTTGTTGGCCCCCAAGGAACATCCTATATGACATATACAAAGGCATACCGGCACTAGTGCCTTCAGGCGTCTTTGTCCCTCATCGGCTCCCCGAAGCAAGGATTCATCAAGTTTCTGCTCAACGAAATCGACCAACGCAGGCGACGGCTTCCCACGGTCCCAGAGATCACTTTGGTCCGTGTCCCAGAGTTCCGACCACGCTGCGTTCTGGCCCTCGGTGTCCTTCTGGTCCCTAGAATGTGCGGGAGATCAAAAATTAGTATGTTTTCAAACAGCGTGCCGTCTCGGCATTTTGCTAATTCTGCCATGGCAGTGATATAGATTCAACCGACCTTTTCAGGAAGTGTGTTACGAGACGGCCAAAGCCCTCTGTGCCTGCGGGTTTGATTGCGCTCATTTTCGGAGAAACGGAGTGCCTTTCTTTTCGTTCTCTGGAGACTACCCAGGTATGTATCGAGCACCCCCCGGATAAGAGAACTGCGCTACCGTACGTACCACACAGATCCGCCCTTCTAGTTTCGACAGACAGGGCAGGCAAAATCCAGCGTGGCAATAGTCTACAGGGGGTTGCTTCATCATCACCCCATCCGGAATTGACTTTTGCCACCGCGGGTCCTGCACGCCTTGGCTGAGAACAAATGTCGAGTTAGGGCGCAGACTGACATGGCGGGTCTAAGGATATACTATATTATTTGGTCACAGCTCTCTCCAGCGTTAGCTCACTGGCGCCAAAGGCCAGCATCTGCCTGCACGCCGAGTGCTAGCTTGGGTACTGCTTTTTCAAGGGACGAGAATGTGAAGAGACTGGCGATTTTGGGAGAACGTCGTACAAAATTCCCGCAGCTTTAACGGACCCAGCATTTTCGCGAGCTAACAGGCCGCAGACTCTGCCAAAAAAAAAGAAGGGTATTTACGATTTTGAGTCTCGACTACACAGATGAGACAGAACATAGAATCCAACAGTGGTGGGAGGCCCCCTTTTATCAGAGAATGCTTGGGAAACCTCAGGGACGGGTTGTACCATCTACATGAAAGGGGAGCCATATAACGGTGGGATTGAGAAGCTCAGCACTAAATCAGCTTCGTAGCAATCTGTCCGGGTCAGCACCTTGGCCAAGCCAGCCTCTTCACAATTCTGACAACAGCTGGGACTCATGATGGGTTCTTGGGCAGACTCAAGTCGCACGGGAAGCTGAAGTCGTCCCCTCTCGTCCATTCTGAAAACGGACATGGACTACCGGTGGCATCCTTGTTTTGAGCCGGCGACAGTCCTTGCTGTAAGGAATGGTTGTTCTTCGCTGGAAAGGATCCCAAGCATCCCGTGCCGTGAGGTGAGGGCACTCCAGACTCGGCTGTAGCTAACGTGCCGCTACCTATGCTGTTCGTGCAGGCATTAGTCTTTCCAGCGCCGCCTCTCTGCGTGCAAGACATCTGGCTGAACTCCGCCAAGCACTCTGGAGTTTGCCAACACAGGGGTAAACTTGTCAAGTCGTCATATGCATACGGCAGGAGCAAATCGCTATTCAGATCCATGCTTTCAAACGGGGAAGGTGCCTCTGCTGGCGGTAACGCAGAATCAAGCCGTGTGAGCAAGGAAGCGTCTGCACTGTCTTGCCAGAATGCCTGCCCGCCAGCCGCTGCGCTGCCTGCGAGTATGAGACGCGGGTCAACCTGTGTTGAGAGCGGCTCCGCGGCTGATTTCAGACGGACCCCTTCTTTGAAAAGTCGCAGCCATTCGGCGTTGTCAGCCGGGGTCTGATTCCAGGCATCGTCGTCCCCGTACATGATTGTTCGTGCTTGTCTTCGTACAGTCTCATCAGTGACGACAACGCCGTCCTTCATGGCCTGTAAGACAAAAGCACCCAGGCGCGCAGTAAGTGACTCGAACGACGTGGGGACCCGCGCACTATGTTGGACTGCGCCCATTTCTTGACCCGTGTTGCGTGAAGCACTGAACGGCTCGAATTGCTTCCTTTCAGAGTCAATCAGATAGGGCGGCATGGCGTTTTCCACTAGCAATGCAATCTCAGGGTCCAAACCCCGACAGCCTGTCCAGTCTCTCATCGAGGCCCCGTCCCGGAAATGCTCGGCAATGTGATTATTGCGAGTAGGCCAATCGACGAATCGTTCCCCACAGAAGCCGCAACGACAGTTTATCGAGGCTATCCTGGTCTTCCAATTGGCTACGTGGTCTGGCATGTGCTCAACTCGGTGGACTATATGCATGTGTTGTCTGAGATGGTCCTTACGGCCAAAGGTTCGTAAAGGCCCAGGCTTAGCTGTACACTCGTCATGTCGGTGTGATTGAAGGTGAGAAAAAGAAGGGTTTTCGGCCTCACAGAATGAACAGCGCGGAACTCGATCGAAGAAGATCGGGCCTTGCGGGCAGCAGACCCATTTCTCCAATGAGAGATGCAGGGCGCTCTCGTGTCTAGTCCAGTCGTATTTGGAAGCAAACGTGTCTGTACAGAAGGTGCACTGATATTTTCGTGTCTTGCGACCGTTGGATGGATGTGCTGATGACGATTGAGACTGCTTGAGGGGACGGCGCCGGCGTCGGCTACGGGGGAGTCGCCAGGACTGCTGAAAGTTTGGGTTTGTACTATTGGATTCGAAGGAAAAGGCACTACCTGTAGAGTTTGACGACTGACTGGTCCCCAGAGAGCTCAGAGATTCGAACGAATTGTCTGAGTACGCGTGGGATAGACGCTGTGTCGTGTTGAAAGAATCGGGGAGCCTTGTGGTTTCCGACCCATTGCTGTGGAGCGAGTGGCGGACTGCCACGGCAATGGCATCAAAAGGTGCAGGCTCCTGGTCGGGGGGAGAATGACGCCAGCGATCCAAGGGGCTCATGTCTTGCCATCTTGACGTGCTCACTAGATTGGGAACCGAGATGGAACGCCCAGAAGATGGGGCATGTTGTTCAAACGAGTTGGCAGTGTAGCGGCGGCGAGCGTTCGCGAACCAATTAGCAATTTGTCGGTCACTAAGATTGGTTTGCTCCTGCAACGCTTTCTTCTCTTGTTCCGTTGGATACGGGTGAGAGGCGTGCGCCACAAACCATTGCCGCAGTGTTTTCGTCACAAGTCGGGGCAGACGTGCCACGGATCTCCTGAAGGGGTCGACTTCGTCAGATGTCGCATTGGCCGTGGGCAGGGAGACTCCCTGCTTACGGGGCGGCTCCTCCGGCATGGATGAGTCGTGTCTGCGATGCGATCGGAGACTAGCAAAAAGTGCCCCACGAAGTTCGCGGGCGCATTCAGGGAAGTACCAAGACCTCAGCCGCTAGATTTGATGGCGAGAAAATGCTCAAGACCTACAGATGGCTGGTACAATCATACAATGTATCATCGACGGTCGAGGGAGATTGATGAACAAGTCTAAATAAGGTTCCATAAGGGCGCTTTTTGACAACCCGCGAATACCATTGGTCCGTTTGAGGGAGCGAATGGTCTTGAACCCCCCATCCTGCCCCACATCATACTCCCTCTTGACCCCCCTCTATCTAGCTTGATAGATACCAGAGGATCCGTTAGTTACCATCCTGGACTGGTGCCAGACAATGCTTTAACTGACAGCGCAGGAGCAACGACGCTGCCGAAGCGCTTTAAGGCCGCGGCGGATTCCTTCGGCCAATTATTCTTCTTATTCCGATAAGGCCGGATTCCCGAACTGCAGGATGCACAATTGATGATCTCTAGGACTGCACAGCTACAGCTCAAAACTAGCTACGTCATGCCTCAGGCCCAATAGTGGTACGCTCAGGTCGAAACAACGGAAATGGACTATGGAGAGATTCGGCGCGGAGTCTAATGCTATTTGGCGCGACGTAGGATCACGTCTTCCACCCCGACGCCCCGCCTTAATCATATAGTTATGCGAAACAGAATGAAGCTGGACAGGCTGCCTCCAATGAACGTAGAAACACGCCCGTCCACACACCTTTTTCATTACACAGTACAGATCTCATATTCTTCCGTTACAACAATGCGCCTCTCATCGTCACTCAATTTTCGGCCCCTGGGGTCTTCACTAGCTTGAACACCACTGATAGAAGATGTCCGTCTGGCCGGGAATGTATTCGACCGAGATCGGCTCAGTGTCGTGGGACCCTGCCCTCCGACCGAATGCATCGAATACGAGTGCAAATGGTCGCCCTGGAAGTCATTTTCACGGGACGTTGCAATCTTGCGGATCAGGTTCGCCATGCTCAGCTCGATGTTCAGCTTCACAGTGTAGGCGACGGGATGGAAGGACATGAAGACAAGCTGGTTGTGGAAGAACATCATCCCAATTATCAGGCACTGCAGGTGTGAGAGAGGTCAGTGAGGTGAGAGAAGGCCTGTCGGGCAAGAAATAAAGGCAAGGAGGAAAGACGATGACTGGTGTGAATGGATTGGCCAATGCTCGGGACTCACATCCATCAAGACCGAAACCACCATGAGTTTAATATTGAATGAGACGAGGCTACGGTATTTTGTGAGTCCGACATTCCGCACGAGCCGGGCATTGACTGTGTGTAGAAAGTAAAGGTTCAGGCCGGCATCGATGAATAGAATAATAAATTTAGTCGCTTTGTCCCAGTACTTGTTGACCACGACAAATCTGTTTCCCGATCAGCATTTCATGGTATGATATTTTATAGACAGGTCCCAAGGGGCGAACGGAGCGCGCTCACAGTTTATGCGGAGGAGGGTTGAGGTGGGCTGGGATGAAAATAGAAAAGACCCCGATATTGACGAGAGTGATAATGACCGCGACAGCCCACTTTACCCGGGTGGCAGTGATCCGATCTGAGACGACAACGCTGAGCCGATTGATTATGAGTTGCAAAATAAAATGGATCTTGGATGGTCAGAGTGAATGTTCCGGCTTGATGAATGCGGTCCGGGATTGTCTAACCTCAAAGGCCCAGAAGAATACTGTCGGATCATACTCATTAGTTCGTTGAATTGGCAGAGAGCGCGAGGGCAGTAACACGTACGGACAAAGAAGTATGTGGGAACACTATGGTGGTCAGCTCTTCGTTCCTAAAGCAACCGGCTTTGGCTAAACTGACTTTGGAAGAAGGTAGTGATTCATGAACAACCAAACAAGAATTGTAATGGCTAAGTTTGCAATGAGCTCGCCCCAGACCATGAAGATGTACACCGATCGCCATGGATTGATGAGGTGTCGTGTCTGCTTGATAGCCTCCCAGGTGGTAAGGAAACCAAATCCAAGTGAGAAGCCTGCAGCTGCGTTGGCGAGCTGATAATCTCCTAGTGTGGAGGACATGATTCGAGATGGTAAAAGAACAGATACTAGACGGTATAACCTGAAAATGGAAGTGGATTCACATTCTTATGTCTTGTCATATACAGGGCGAGGAATTGCTTTAGCGGAGTGCTCAAGCCGTGATCAGTACGTCGACATTTTGGAAATCTTTGATTCTGATGAATATGAAACATGTGGCTGCCACCGAAGGCCAATGCCATTCACACCCGTTGAACAGGTAGGGGCAAAGGGTTGCATGCGAACCCCTTTTAACAGGAGATATCGCAAGCTTTTGGAGGAGCAGGGTCTCAAAAATCGGTGGTGATCTTCGAATAGAGAATAGTAGGCTGAAGCATGGCCTTTTCTGACGAGAGGCTTCACCATCGAATTTCAAATAGACGCAAGTGCGCAGACCTATTCAAGTTAGTATGCGTGCACTTCGGGCTGAGAAACCGTTCCCAATGACAGGACCAAATATCGATGCCGGATCTGGCTGCTGAAGAACCCGTTTCGAAAGCGTAGGAAGTTATTTATTAGTGATGCACAAGGACGAAATGGGGTGACATTCATCGACCTTACCCCGGAGTATTCGTCGTTTCTGGCTAGCAAAGTGTGGAGAAGTGGGTGATGGCGCACTGCAAACATTGCATGGAGATCCATGAAAAGGGGGATGAACCCTGTCAGGACACGCACCAAACTTCCTCTTGCAGGACCTCTCTGAACACCTAATGCCTCGATCTCGGTAGATCAAACATTTCGTCCTCTGTCTGGCTGGGAGCAGGAAAAATCAATTCTGACCCAGGTCATGTACGTGACCTGCACAAACTCCGCAATATGTAAGGTCGGAGTTTTCTCCAGAAATGGCTTTAGAGCCGGAGCCAAAGACATCGCTGTAGTAATCACACTAGAATGACCCTTGGTGACTCCCAATATCCGTCTGAGATGATGGAAAGGTGAGAGAAAAGGGTCGTGCAAGAGATGTAGGCGCGAGGATGAAAATATCTCGACCCACATGTGTAGTTTCAAAGTCACGTTGATGATGTCTTCTGATTGGCTGAGGTATCCGTGGCATAACCGTGGAGTAATGTTGCTGAGCTCTGAAGAAAGTAGATCTCGATGTTCATTGAGCCGAGGCTGGATAACACACCAGGCAGCCGTGCAAGGCGTCTGGGGACTTGGTAACCGGGATAAAACGCCACGAGCACATATCTGGGAGCTTCCGCACGAGGTGTAACGTAAATGCCGAGATACTTACCTATCCAGGTAGTTGTAATTCAGTTTGAGCTTGTTCATTTCGTCCTTCACATTTCATGTGCTTAAGACCAAAATACAGCAGTCAAATGATGTCTTTTGACACCTACATTTCACCGCCTCGCCGCGATTTTGACATGATTGGCCGCCTCGACAGCGATTTTGAATGCCTCTAGCAACTGATTGATGTCTTCCAAACCAGCTGTAATCCTGATCTGTGTAGGTTTCAGGCCATAGCTTGCCGCCCAGTCCAACTTCTTGGCGTATGTACACGCCGTGTATGCAAAAGCAAGGGTAAACGGCGCACCGAGATGCACGCTGTTGTGGACATTGAGATTGTTGTAAAAGGCCTCAGTGGCTTCAACGTCCTCGAACTCGACGCTGAATAGGCAGCCATAGCCAGGAGTGAATTCTGGTGTCTCCAGACGCATAAACTGCCGATAGTGCTTTCCTGCAGGGTTGACACTCGGATAGTGAACTCTGGTGACAGCGCTGTTAGAGTCTTCGGCACATGTCTGTAAATAATCGGTTAGAGCCTTCGCATTGTGGTTCAATTTGATTGTCCTTGTGAGATAATCGCGGCTGTTGCGCTCAAGAGCTTCCACATCATCAACATAAAGCTCCGGTACATATCGGGTGTTGAATAAAGATTTGAGTGCGTCGTAGTGGCGGGAAGCGGGATTAAGAACGGCGCAACCAGCGATTACATCGGCGTAACCATTGAAGGATTTGGTAAGAGATGTAACGAGAATGTCGGTCATGTGTGTTATGTCGATATTCGCATAGCTTCCAATGGTATCGTCAATAGCCAGGACAGCATCGTATTCGTCGGCCAGAGCCCGAAGTCGACTGAGGTCTGGCGTGACAAGGATAGGATTGGCCGGGAATTCTGCCCAGATTGCTTGCACTTTGCGGCCCTGGTCGCGCTCTTCGCGGAGGAATGCCTCAAGCCCTGATAAGTCTTCATCTGAACCCAGGCCGAAGAACTTAAAGCCGGATCCAAATTCTTGAAATGTTGTCAGTGTGTCCATAAAAGCCATGCCAAAGAGTACCGTCGTGCCATTGTAAAGACTGCTCAGATACGTATGAGGCTTGTAGATTGAAGCCATGCCGGTCGGAAAGAGATAAACGTCATTTGAAGAAGGCTTCTGTGCTGTGGGTTGCAGCGTCGCCCGCTTCAGGTAGGAGATAATCCGATCTCTGAGAGCCTCGTGTTTCGCAGTCTCGAAGCTGGGTCTGGGATTGTCTTCATCGAGGATGGTCATTTCGGCAAGCTGGTTGGTCATTGACAAGTTCGCCTCTGCAAACCGTGACGATACACCGACCCCCGGTTTGCTCCAGAAGCCTATTGCAATAGAGGCATATTCTGAAGGAAAGATAACCGCCCAAAAGCGATCTTTTGCGACAAAAGCCCGAATCTGAATGACACCCCGCGGTATAGGGTCCCGGTCACCACCTATGCGCCGCGGTGATATACAATATTCCACACATTCTTTGGCCGATGCCAACGAACTGAATAAGAAACAAGTATGGTCACTAAGACCGAGATGGCTCAAAACGGTGTTGGCGAGCTGGCTCATCAAATTAGCCGTGTGCATGGAACATGTCGATCTCGGTAGCTAAACTCACATTGACAATGTCTCTATGTGGCTTCGCTCGAGGGTAAGCATTGTGAAAAGTTGCAATCACCGAACGGGGATCAGCACCATATTTTTGTACGGTCTGCCAGCCAGGCATATGAACAGTAACTGCATGGCGCGGTGCCGGAGGCACAGCGTGGCCAAAGGCAGTTGTGATTCTGTTAGCCATTAGTGCCGTGAAGGAATGAAAGATGCGCAGAGGTAGATGAGGAATTGTGGGAAGACAGCTAGAACATCAACTGGGAGTCGAGAGTAGCGAATATTTGCCGCACACTGCCTGAATAAAAGAGAATGTCTCTCTCGCTTGAAACTACTCAACACAGTACGAGGGCATTTGAGAGCATTTGCTCCTCCCTCATCTTGCGAATTGTACGCGTCTGGCGATAATCGGACATGCGTAGGGCGCTGATTACTCCACCTTCAAGGGCGTAGAATGACATCTTGTCTGCCCTAGCCAATGTAGACAGAAAACCACCAACTCGGAGTGCTTTTGCGACATGGAAACGGGCAAAGACCGCTAGTAGAGATCATCACAAGCTATGATCAGCCGAGAATCCCTCAGCAGCAATCTAGGACCGCACGAAACTTTAATATCCCAAAGCTGTCAAGAGTACTCGGTACCCAGCGGGCTACTAATAGGTACTTACCGAGTTACTCTGCTCGTTAGGCAAAAGTGCCAAGTCGTGCTTTGTATCTCGGCTAAGTTACCTATAATGCGTCTTGGCAGAGCCCTCCTTAGACCAACCATAGACACGTGATAATAGTATTACTCGTCACCCCTTTTCAGCCACAAACCCTGAATATCCGAACAGGTCGCAGCCTCCTCAGCCACAGCTATTCCCCATCAGTCCAAGCAGCTGCATCTCCTATCGAACCTTCCACGAGGGGGAGCCGCCAATCTCAGACAGCGGGCCTTGATCGACAGTTTTCTTGACGCGTGACATTGCTACAAGACATGGAACCACAATAGGAGACAGCGGGACGGTTGGATCCTTCTGAACCAGTACCACGCAGGTATACGAGGTACGAGGAGCATGGCAATCGAAAGTGGACGGCGTTTCATCCTCGTACCTGTAACAAGTACGTACTTGAAGCGGCCTGGCCGGCGAGCCGCGCACCTTATGTAGGTGTGGCTAGATGGCCTTCCAGGTTTTTTTTTAGTGAGTTGTTGCATTTCTGACACAGTCACAACAATCTGTGGCCAGATTTGGAGGGGAAAATAGCCGCCCAGACTCGTTTCCAACTGACTGACGTGCCGAAGGCGCGGTAGGGAAAAGGGGCACTTCGGAAGCCGGTGCCTCCACCGTGAGATTGGACAATCTCTTTCATCTTCCCCAGATTTGCTAGAGCGCCGAATCAGCGCCACGCTGTTCCGCGACGACTTTGTCGCACAGAGACAGCCCCGGAAGCAGCTCAATTTGAAAGTCTACTCCAGACCGTGCAGTTGACAATAGTTCCTCAAGGTGTAATGGGGAGCGCGACCAAGTGAATACTATGTCCGCACCAGTCTCTGCTGACCCTGGTCCAGTGACCCTTTGTACCTGGTAAGAATCTCATCTCAACAAAAGCGTTTACGGTCAAGACAAGGCGCAATTAGACATCCTGTTAGGCTTCTCGGCGGGACCAATATTCTCCTCGCCAGCCAGGATCCCCTCGATATGGGACCCCCCCTGACTCTGAGATGGTATTGGAGGAAGCAAAATCCTCGCGGCTCCCGTCTATCGATAGACGTTCTTTCCCAGCGATAACAAACGCTTTCTTTTTTGCTTCTATTGTTGTCGCTCATCTCATCGTCTTGCAACGAGGTGCCTGTGGCATCGTTGTTGTCGTCGGAATCCAGAAATATATATACATCACGGTGCCTCGCGAAGGCGTGCCTCTCATACCGAGCCAGACCCGTCGAGACCACGGTTTGGTCTCAAACACCGCTGAACACGGCGTCCGCAGTTGCTCCCCCGCTCTTCCGGGCCTTACCCCTTGACCCTACCTACCGACAACCATCGACGCCGTTAGGTGACCCAAGGCTGGACGAATATGGTGCATTGAGACGGGACCAACAAAGAAGCTCCTCACCTTTACCCCCTCCGGCGGTGCACGGAAAGGACATCTCGCGTCCATCTTCGACGAATCTTCCGTACACGGGCAGTCATTTCTTCAATCAACCACAATTCCATGCGAGAAGTGCGAGTTTCAATCTCGGGCGGGACTATCACTCCGAGCCACGACCAGCACTGCCAGGACTGTCGGCCTTGACGTCCTTGGCGGCTGCTGCACCAGCGCCAACAGTCAGGTATGTCGAACATTTTCTGCAAAAGCAACTTGGCGATATATTAGCGGGAAAAGGAGGAGCATGGAAACAAGCTGACGCGCGACACAGATCCTTCTCTGGCAGCAGCTATGGTTCCCAAATGAGTTACTCGAGCAGTATGGCACCAGTGCCGACACCTGGAATTGCAGGCAACGCTCCGGTAAGTAGATGCGCATGATTGCTTTCTTTTTTCCTTTGTGTTGCCCCAACAAGTCGTCCGTGTCTCATGCTGGTGGCATGGAAGCACCGGGGGCTGCCAAGGCTGCGCTTGTGGAGGCAGGCAGGTTCTGCTGCGCTACGAGCAGGTCACGGGGTTAAACTTCGGTTTCTTATCGTTATCGAAAACCTGAAGATTCCTGGGATTCGATCACCACCCCGAAGATACCATGGCTGCTTCAATATCTTCAGGCGCTGACCAGAGTGCTCCCTTTACGCAGCCTGTCTGCCAAAACTGCCAGACGTCGACCACTCCTCTATGGCGCCGCGACGAAGCCGGTTCCGTCCTCTGCAATGCCTGCGGCCTGTTTCTCAAGCTGCATGGCCGCCCGCGCCCGATTAGCCTCAAGACAGACGTGATCAAGAGTCGCAATCGAGTCAAAACCTCGAGTCAAGGGCCAAAGAAGAAGGTCAGTGATTCCCTACGCTCCTCGTCTGTTGCGCGTGCTTCTGACAGGCGGCGCAGTTTGAGCACAATGGGGGCCAGCCTCCTCAGACCGACAGTCTCAATGGTATCAATCCGCACCGGCGAGTTTCGCAGATGGCAGGTTCGGCCTCTGATAGATCACACTCGCCCATATCGCGCACCGGAACCCCTACGGCTCACCAAGACCCGAACATCGCCCCTCAACACCTCTTCGATAGTGTATCCGCCATAGTAGATCCTCACTACAACAATCACAACGGCTCTCCCGCCGATGCAGCTCTCCATCCCAACCCCACGCAACCCTCTCCAAGCACGGCCCCCATGAGCGATGGCCAAAAACACGTCGAACCCCTCATGAGTTATGATCAGCTGGCCGCCCTCAACACCCGGCTCCGCACGCGAGTCTCCGAACTCGAAGTCATCAACATGGTCTACCACGATAACGAACAGAATCTGTGCCGGGAACGGGACCGAGCCATCCAAGAACGAGAAGAATGGAAGCGCAAGGTCGAAGAGCTGCAGAGACGACTCCAAGAAGTTAATAATGATGACCCAAGACACATTGCTAAGAAGCCACGACTCTCCCAAGAACCAAAAGAATGAATGTTGGCGCGTTGGAAAAACATTTTGGAAAGGAAAAGGACACACGAACCAAAAAAAAGGCGAGCGTTTCTTGGGCATGATGAAATTGTAGAGCAGTGCTCTACTTCCTTCATGGTTGTTCTTGTCAGTGATACCCAGATGCACGAATTTTCTTCTGTCTGTCACCATAATATGGTGGTCCGGTGGGTGACGGGCTTTAAGGGTGAATAAAGGCGCATAATGGGCTGGCTGGCCTCGAAGACGAAGGCGTTGGAGGGCAAGGGAAAACGGAGGGGGCCGCGCTGCTGCTGCTGAGAGGACAAACTCTGATCGTTTATTAGTATTTAGACGGGAAGCCGGGGCCTGATTCACGTCCTCTCTGCCTGGATAAGGGGCCAAAGGGTCATAGTCATGGTCGTGGACATGTGGAAGTGTTTGTCACAAAAGTACTTGGTTTTGGTTCCCCCCTGGATTGACTTAGCGCCGGGGGCATCATTCTGTCGACATAATAGCCTAATTCAAGCGAAGGGGAGAGGAGCCTTAGTTGCTTCGCTAGTAGTCATTGTCCAAATCTACTCTGGAATCCCAGCGCCTCATCGGGCTGGATGCTACAGGAGGTGTGTATTGGACCATGCATGCAATGAAAAAGACCTCTGCTCTTCTCTTTTCGTCCTGGCTGGCCAGCGAGCGACTTCCACCTCGCTTGATCATGCCCTCCTTCATTGGGCCATATATGCTGTCTGTAAGAAGGTCTTCACTCACTCAACAATTGGGCCCAAAAGCCGTGCCTCCTCAGGTCTCGCGTTGAAGTGAAACAGGATATTCCGTAAATGATTGTTCTGCAGCATGATGAGCAATTTATTCTTCCTGTCCCCCAGGTTGCACGAGGGGCATCCGCCAATGTACGGCGGGAAGATCTGGCAGGCCGGTGTGTCCACGTCATGCTCGGGGGGTTCGAGACGAAATCTTGTGTCAATGGGCTGCTGCTGTGCCGCGGTGTCTATCCAAGAATGGTTCCGGGATTTGGGCTCGATTCCAGCCGGATAGCGTGTCTCCCAGAAGGTGTCCTCTTCGCCGACTTCGGCGAGCCATCCGAGCCGTTTAAGTTCGTGCGAGGAGAACCAGAAGCCAGCTTGCTGGTTCGGGTACAAGTACACGCTTTTGCCGTGCCGTCTCAATGTGTTCCTGTACGCGGCGCCGACGTGTGTTCTCTCGCGCTCATGAACCTGTCGTGGCAGGTTTGCTTGATGTGGTCGAAAAGCTCTTCGTCCAGGTAACCCTCGGCACTGCCAATTTCACGATCATCGAGCACGAAGCCGTGGAAGTGCCGGCCCCCTTGATATTCGTACCCTGAGCACCAGAACTTGAATCGATCACGCCGTAAAAGTGCGGCGGTTGGGCCCCCCATGTCGTCAAGGAGGTAGTCGAGCCACACGTGAAGGGCATCTTCAAGGGCGAGGGTATCGTCATCGTTCCATTCCGCTTCGGGACGCAAATCCAGACCGAAAGACCGCTTTCTGCAAGATTTAACGAGGTTGGCCTTGAGGTTGTTCACCGGTCTTTCCCGAGGTGCATTGCGCCGAAGTTCAATAGTTACAGCATCAGCGTATCTAATGCGTGAGAAGGGTCTCAGTATGATCCCCAAGTCGGAGTTGGATCCCTCGTGCCTGATTGAAGCTGTTTTCGTGACAGCGTCCCACGAGCTGTAGTTGGGGACACTTCGATTCCAAGCTCCCCGAAGACGCCATCCCCGGGACTCCCTGTGTCGGACTTGGATAGTAATTGGTGGCAGTCAAGTTGTCAATCTTCCCTCCGGAAGATATATGTCGGGTTCTGTTCTAGGCAGCCTGTTCGAATCCGTCCATCGACGTAGTAAAACGGCGACCAGTCGGTTGCATTACAGCCAACCTCGAAAAAGTTGGCCAGGGTCGGTGACATCCGGTGCATCGATCAGAATGCGTATCCCTCTAAAGCGGTCCACTGGCATCCTGTCAAGCATGCCATAGTCGGGGTGTGGCGGGGTGTCGATCGTGCAGTCATTGCCCCACTGAGAGTTGTCTGAGTTAATGAGCTTGACGGCGGTTGACGGTGCCGAAGGGTCGATATGGAAACCGAGGACGAACATTTCTCTCAGAAAGTGAATAAATTCTTTGTAGAAGCGTTTGTTCGCGTATAAGAGCCCAGTGGCGCGAATCTTGACACATTCAACATAGACCATGCACCGAAGCTCAAAAGGGTATCCATGGGGGCGACCTGGAGGTGGTGACGGGGTTATTGGAGTTTGACTAGGCTATTCTGTTGATCCTATCTATAATATCAATATCAGCAGGATAGGCAGGTAGATACGAGGTATATGTAGTGATATATGATGAGGTGGGCCACACCAAAAGTCCTCGAGGTCCTCGAGGTCCTCGCGGGCCAGACCCAGCTCAGCCCACCCATGGCAGAGTCGTGTCTCGCCATAAGGAAGGCTCTCATCTAATCATAGCTTTGGGCGCCGAAGCAGTTTGTGGTTCGATCTACTGTAGAGAAAGGAAGGCGGCGAGATTGCTACAACAGACCAGGGATGCGAGGGAATCAGATTGCCCTTTTGTTCCCCGCTTTTCTCTCTCCACTTCCTCCCAGGTTTCTTGGTGTGTTTGTCGTGTTTGTACTGCGGAGAAGCCACGACGACATGGGCTGGATGGTACCGTCCCCACCACGCAAACCAGCCTCGCCGAGGTTAACTCCCTCGCCCCGGTTCTCCGGACCGTCAGGTCCGTGTCAACAAGGTCGATTGATGCATTCTCGCCATCTCCCCGGTGTGAACTCCTGTCTGGTCCCCTTCATGAATGTCATATATTGAGACCTTCTGCCTTCAACCGTCAACCTTAAATCGCAACCACAGACGAGAGCCTGGGGCAAGGTATATGGTACACGATCTATCGCAGTATATACTCACGGGGACAAACCCACCTTTCAAAAAGGCCGACATGAGTTCCGTTGTCCCGGTCTCCCCTTTACGCCTTCCTTCTTCATTCAACTTTGCCAGTGATGTTGTGGACCATTGGGCGTGGAGAGATCCCTCCCACATAGCTCTCTACTGGACCGACCAATCCCTCAGCACTACAAAGCAGTTGACCTACAGCCATTTCTCGCGCCAGTCGCAACGCATAGCATGCCTTTTTGCATCTTTGGGCATCAAGCAAGGTGAAACGGTCATCATAATCGCACCTCGAGTTCCAGAATGGTGGGAGACGGCGACTGCCTGCCTTCGCTCCGGAATCATCTTGTGCCCGTGTACGACGCTATTGGTTGACAAGGACATCGAGTATCGACTCCAAGTCTCTCACGCTACCGCCTTCATTGGGGATGCCACGTCGGTGGCCAAATGCCTCAAGGTCCGGGCCACATGTCCCAATTTGCGTGCCATAATCCAGATCAATGGAACTGCGCCTCCGGGGGTCACTGACTTCCATTCAGCATTAAACAAAATCCCCTCCAACGCCAGATTTTCCGTGCCAAGCTCTCTGGGTCCAAAGTCTCCGGGTATGATATTCTTCACTTCCGGCACCACGGGCCCACCAAAGATGGTCCTGCACACGCAAACGTCGTACCCCTTGGCCCACGCCCTGACGGGAACTCATTGGTTGGATCTATCGCCGGGCAAGATATACTGGAACCTCTCGGAACAAGGCTGGGCTAAAGCGGCGTGGTCATGGTTGTCGACATGGAATTGCGGTGCTACAATCTTCGTTCATGATGACAGGTTGGCGTTCCACCCGCGCCGGACTCTTGAAGTCCTCAACAAGTTCCCCATCACGACACTGTGTGCTCCGCCAACGGTGTACAGACAACTGGTTCTCGACGAGACCCGGCGGTTTTTTGCCACGGAAAAGGGCAAGCCAAAAGCGTTGGTTCACTGTTGCGGTGCAGGAGAGCCTCTGAATGAGAGCGTGGTTCGCATCTGGAAGGAAATGACAAATGGGATCGAGATTTTCGACGGGTACGGACAGACCGAGACGATAGTAGTCTGTGCGAATCAGAAAGTCAACAAGGTCAAGCCAGGCAGCATGGGGAAGCCGCTTCCCGGCGTACCCTTGACGATCATCGATTCCGAAGGAAATTCCGTGGCACCCGGAGTGGAAGGGGACATCGCCATTGTGGTATCGAAGACGAGGACCGACACTGATTTCTTTGGTTTCTTCGAAGGGTACATCGATAAGTCCACGGGGATGATTGACACCAAGATCAAAACCTATCCGAACGGCAAGATGTATTTTGTCACGGGCGACCGCGCGATGAGAGATGAGGATGGATATTTCTGGTTTGTGGGTCGAGCTGATGATGTGATTAACTCGAGCGGGTACAGGATAGGTGAGTTGCCCCCAAGTTTCCTTCTCTCTGAAACATGCCCACGCCAGCCCTCGCCTTTTATAATGAAGCTGCAAGCTCCAAGAAGCGGGCATCTTCGCTTGTTGAAGACCAAATTATTATGAGTGGAAATGCCGGTACTCGTCCATTGGAGCCTTGCCTGCTCATCATCCTTGTTTCAGCCAACAACGCCATTTATAACAGATTAACTTGCTGTCGCGAGGTCTCACTAAGCAATGACGCACGCTACATGCAGGCCCATTTGAAGTCGAATCGACCCTGAAACTCCACCCAGCGGTGGTCGAATCCGCAGTCGTGTCCTCGCCGGATCCGCAACGCGACGAGGTCGTCAAGGCCTTTATCGTGCTCACGGACTCGGCCACGTCCAAGGTCAGAGCGTCTCGCACGGCTGGCGAGGCGCTGGTTAAGGAGTTGCAAGATTTTTGCAAGCAGAACGCGGCGCCGTACAAGTATCCTAGGAGGATCGAGTTCGTGGATAGCGGCTTTCTGCCTAAGACCATCTCTGGCAAGATCAAAAGAGCTGAGCTGAAGGCGCTCGAGAGGAGGAGGTACAAAGAGGCGCAGGGCGCGAAGTTGTAGGAAGGCCACCAGGACCATGGTCCCTGGGAGACGAGATAAGGTGGCTAATGGCACCCGTAATGTCAGGAGAGGTGCAATATTAATACCTGTATTTGGATAGCACAATTTTCTTTTATATATCTATTTCGCATAGCACAATCGCACGGACAGGCCATTCTATGGGTATACACCAGCTGTATATATATATTTACTGGCGTCGTGACTGTAACCCACAATGCGGGCTATGATTTTATCTCTCGTGGCGTCTCTCTCAAGTCCGCCGACCAGGAAATGCCACGCGCTAATAGTGCCACACGCGTCTCAAACTCCACCACGTATTCTGCACCATCTTGCAACCTCGCAACCACCCACCACCACCTCGTCAATCACTCAATGGAGGCAAATCGAGAGGCTAGAATACAACAGGCCATAACCGACTATCAATCACGTCGATATTCCTCTATCCGCGCTGCTGCCGCCGCAAACGACATCGATCATTCCACCTTGAGCCGCAGAATAAAGGGTGTCACCCGATCGAGACCTCTGTCCCACGAACCACAACAGTTACTGTCGAACACACAAGAGAGGCTATTAAAGAGCTGGATACTTGACCTTGAGGCGCAAGGGCACCCCCCGACCTATTCCACCGTTCGCCGACTAGCTGTCATTGTCAGCCAGACATCTGGCGGCCCTGACCGGGTTGGACACAATTGGTTAACGCGATTTATCCAACGGCATCCTGATCTGCGTTCCAAGGTAGGTAACATTCTCTACCTCGTACAAAATGGGGATTCAAATGTTGACAAGCGACCAGTTGCAAATCCGGCAAACAGAACAAACAAAACAAACTCGGAAAAAGATAGAAAATACGTCACAGCCTCTTTCTACACTTGATACACCTTAGGTACTCTGTCGCACATACCGTCTGCCTCAGGGCCACTTTACTTTGTAACAAGAAACAGAGAGGGTCTGTGTATGTACTCAGACGGGGACGGTGCTGGGTGAGGAAGGGCATGCAATCAATAAACAACAAAAACATCCACCACAAACAATCGGGTTGAGACTTGGAGTAGAGAGAGCAAAGCTGAATTGCCTCAAGCTTGGCGTCGAGTCTGAGTTCGGGGTTGCCATCCAGCTACGGAGCAACATCTGGCAATTTCAAACTGGCCATCGATGGCGGCCATCACGGCGTCTTCCGAAGAAGTCGACTCGACCCTCTTCTTCCCGCTCTGCACCTTCCTGCTGAGCGTCTACACTCTCGGCGCCTCAACCGACGTCTTAGTCTCTTGCACCGCCGCCCTCGCGCGCCGGCTGCGCGTCTCGGAGACGCTCATTGCCCTCCTCACAGCGGGGGCAGAGTGGGAAGAGCTCGCCGTCGTGATCGCCGCCGTCGCGCAGCACCGACAAAAACTCGCACTGGGAAACGTCCTGGGCAGCTGTGTCGCCAATATCCTTGGGGCATTCTCGCTGGGCGTCTTGGCGCAGAGAAACGCCCTAGAGAAGTACGACGTCAGCGCTAGGATTTATGCTGTTGTTCTGTTCGGCGTCACCACTCTCGTGGCCGTGCTTTGGGGATTCGGCAGCCTCGACGAGCATGTCTACGGTGCTCTCCTGGTGGGCGTTTTTGCGCTGTATCTCGCGGGTATAACCTGGTCGGTCTATCGTGGCGTCTTGGACGCGCCTGAGGAGGAATCGGATGCCGAGTCGGGGGAGGAGGGGGACGAGGATGAGGAGGAGGAGGATGATGGTGATGATGGCTTGGACGCAGGATCTGATAGAGATCCAGGTCCAGATGTCCGACCAAGTACTATTGGAAATGGGACTCCTCCTCACGCCGAGGACGCGGGCGGCGAGCGGGTGGACGACGAGTCAAGTGCCTTGCTAGCCTCAAGGAAGACAACGACGACGAGGAAGCGACGGCCTTCCACTCGTCTGTTCTATCTACTACTCAAGCTGATCGCCGCCTTTGTCGCCCTCTCCCTCAGCGGCTACGTCCTCTCACACTCGTCCACATCACTAGCGAAGAGCCTCCGCGTCTCTGAAACCGTGTTCGGGGCCACTTTGTTATCTCTGGCGACTACTCTACCGGAAAAGTTTGTCGCCGTCGTCAGCGGATACAGAGGCCATCCAGGAATGTAAGTCCCATCCATCCCCCTTCCCCGGAACCAGTATCCTATCAGTGTCTGCAAAAAACGATTCCTCAAACAAGATATTCATCGTTCTTCTTCCCCCCCCCCCCCCCGCGGTACATAACAGTCTCCTAGCTAACGAGGAATTGCAGCATGGTGGCCAACACCGTAGGAAGCAACATATTCCTGCTGACCCTGTGCCTGGGCGTGACTATCCTGAGCTCCTCGCAGAGTCTCGGCGGAGGAGGCTCGGGCTCCAGCTCCAGCAGCTACACCAACGAGGTCGTTTGGACGTGGACGTCGTCGGCGTTTTTGACCGTCATGATTATACTTGGCACGCACCGTTTAATCGGGCTGGCGATGCTGCTCGCCTACGTTGCGTTTATAGTCCTTGAGTTCACACTGTATTATAAGCCTTAAAGAAGGGCGGCGGCCAAGCGCGCATTGGTTCTACCCTTTTTTTCAAATTGGAATGCCGATGATCTCGTCGTTTTCCTTGCCGTCGGGGACAAGATCGCCGTAGACGGTGATGGGTATCACGACTTCGAATGTGTCGCACTCCAAATTCTCCGCGGCGACATTCACGGTGCCTCGCTCGTCGTTAACCACTTCCTCGAGCAGCTCTGTGACATGTTTGAATTCGCCCTCGTCGTTCTCGACCGGCTTGATGGTGCCAAACTCGAAACGAAGACTCCAGTCGAGATTGACGCCCGAGGTGACAAATGTAGGTGTCGCGGTTGCTGGAATACTGGGTGCAAACGTGGCCCGTTTTGCGAACAGGATGTTCTCGGCGCGGGCGGCGTAAATCTTCCGTGTGATGCGGTTGATTGTGTGGACGGATCGGACCGCGAGCGAGGGCGCGACTTTCTCGGACGTCTCGAGCGTCGCTTTGAGCGAGGCGCAGGGGACTTCGCCTTCGGAGAAGTCGATGACGGCCGTGACTGTCTCCCCGAGCCGATGCAAAGGCCGATCAATGACGATGACCGCGACGCGCGAGCCGGCCCGCGAAATCTCGAAGCGGTTCGGACTCGACTCGCTGTCCGACAAGGCGTTGCTGAAGAGAATCGCCCGGTCAATGGCCTGGAGAGCCTTGCCGCGGCCTCCGGCATCTTGGGTATTCAGAAAAGCTTCCATCGTCCCAGAGCTCGACTGTCGCCGGCGATTGTGGTCCAAGAGCGTGTCCACAAACTGTAGAAATTCGACGCTAGACTTCTCAGCCGACTTGGTGGTCGGGGTTGTGGCCGCTTCTTCCTGGTCCTGCGGGGTCGAGATAGACTTGGTACGGGCAAGATCGCGCAGAATGACATGAGGTTGCATCAGATCATGTCCGTAGATCTCGCCGTCGTGACTTACCCCGGGGAAGACACGGATTGGAATGCTGACTTGCCGGACCGTGTGGACGTCCCGACTGCCCGGTACGCCCTGAACGCCGACCGTCAGGTTGTACGCAATCTTTATAGCTTTGCCCCGGTGGCTGGAAGGTAGGCCACGGGGTAGAGGGTAGCTGTAAGAGTAGGTCTGCTCCTCGCCTGGCTCAAGGTGCATGTCGACGAACAACAGCGACTGTGGACTAGAGAGGATTGGGATTGCCCGCGAATTGGTCACGGCGTGCATCTCCTTGACGCTGCTCATGTCGTCGCCGCCCATCAGGCTGTTCAAGGACCCGCCGATCGCATTGAAGTTGAAGTGTCCCAGGAAGCCGCTGTTGGGCCGCGGTTTCTTCACCCCAACGACGCCGCCTCCGGCCTGGCCGCCTAGAAAGCCTTTGCTTTTGACTTCTTCAAAGTGCGACTGGTCGATCAGCGAGGCGTCCAGTGTGAATGTGGCGCTCAGCTGAGCATAGCCCATCAGGAGATTCACGGCTTGAGGCTTCTGTGTCGGTCTCAATGGCGGTCGTCGAGGCAAGGCCGTCGAGTTCACCCAAGCCGGCCGGTGGTCTGACATGACCGAGGGTTGCTCTGACATTAGAGTCTCTTGCGAATGATTGCTGAGCGAGTAGAAGTCGCCGCTGCTCCTTTCACTGGCGAGGTCTGGCCCGGTCCCAGACCCTTTGGCAGCGTCGCCGGCATCGACAGGGCTGGGGATTTGCAGTTCATTAGGTTCATAGTAGTCCGATACCCTGTCTCTGGCAGTTCCTATAGGTAAGTTCAGTTTAATGTCAGGGGGAGAATCACGACTTCCAGTAGCCGCTGTCGACAATGGGCTTCGCCGACCTCCTCTGGGGGGCAGTTGAAGACGAGTCGGGGAGTCTCGGTGATATTGCTGGCTAGGCCTCCGTTGCGGAGCTGTGCTTGATAAGTTTCTTTGCCCTCCGTTCAATGACATATCCCGGGTTGACTTACCATGCTGAATCTGGACCGTTGAAGATCGTGAATGACTGGGTCTTTTTGGCTTGGCCCAGCCGCCAGGCGCGCCATGTTCGAGATCCCCCGCGATTGTCGGAGAGGTGAGCGAGATTATTGACACGGACCTCTGTTGCTTGTGGCCCGGCCTTTGCACACTGGCTGGGTTGTCGCTGGACCATGATCCCAATGGCATCTGGCGGCCGGCCTGGTCCGCCGAATGCTCATGGCCGGTCGATCGGCCGTTCTGGCCATTCTGGCTCAGCCTCAAGATAGTGTTTGGTTTCGTCGACTGGGCCGCCAGCTGGCTGATACTCTCGCGCCTGCTCCTTCGCAAGGTCTGATACGAAGGGGTAGGCAGCTCCAGCGAGTTCGCGACATTTCTGAAAGTGATGGTGCATCGGAGGTGCTCGCCCGCAAACACGGATTGATCATGGAAGCGGACAACTACATGGATGTCCGAATGCATGCCACGCCCAGGAGGCTGAATGTTGAGAAGAAAGTCGGTCGCCGTGGAGGGAGTCAAAGAGGTAGAAAGGCGGGAGAACACATAGCAAGTTCGAGGTCGTGGGTGGCCGGGAGAACTTCGGCAATTACATGGGACTAAACAGAAGACTGAATACTGAATAACTGAAGACTGGATGCTGACAACCAGAGTCCAGAGAGCGATTTATCCGATTGATGCGCCTCTAGATATTTATACAGCAGCAACGCCAACCTGTGCAGCGACCTTTTCGGTCGTCCGAGCCAGGCCATTGTTGGCATAGAAATCCATTGGATAAGTCCCGTCTCCTTTTTCCCAACCTTGCCGTGCACCCAACGCCACAAGGGCTTCGTAGGGTGTCAGCAGTGGTCGCGGGAAGGCGTAACCCCAATCGATGCTCAGCCTGGGACACGCTATCTGCACCCAGCAATCCACATCTTCGAACATGGCGAGCTTGCCCGGAAAGATCTCGCTGAGCAAAAGGTTGACGTGCGGTATGCCCTCTCTGTCAAGGTAGTTCTCAATCATGGTCAGGATGTGCGGATTGCCCTGTCGTCCCAACGCCCCCAGTATGAGACCCCATCTCTTGGCTTTCCTTGCGGTGCTGATGGCCGCGGCGCGCATATTCAGCATCTCATCATGCGAGTAAGTTTCTCTTGTCAGTTTTCGGGAATACGGATCATATCGATAGGCGGGGAGATGAGGGTTTGCAATCATGGCTGCTTCAAGGTGAAAGCGTCCATCGCCCAGGTATAAGATCAGGTCAACATTGGCATCCGGGTTGATTTTGGGCGCAGTACAGCCCAGCACTTCGCCCTTACTCAAAGGCATGACTTGTGGCACAACCAACTTTAGACCTTCGGCCTCAAGGGCAGGCCTGATCGTGTGGAGGGTGGCATTGAATTGAATGGTACCCACCATGGCGATTGTCTTCCCTGGCGGGATGTTTCGGGACAGTGTGCTCACCAGGTGTCTGGTGTCGATGGAGATGTCGACGAAGATGTACAGGGTGGCAAGCTTGGTCGCCGAGATTGGTATCAGGCAGCTATGCGCGTAGTGGACCAGCAGGTCACAACCCAGAGCTCTTGCAGTGTAGTCATCAATGCAGCATGCGCCGTACGTGACGTCTCCCATGATCAAGGTCTCTGTGCCAGGACAGAACTGAGTCAGGATGTCCGAGATGGTGGTGGCAAACATCAGCAGCCCCTCGGGAAATTGTAGAGCCACTCTCTTGGCCTCGAGGGTCCTTATTCTGTGGATGGTCTTGGGGATCTCGAAGCTGTAATTCTGAGGGAGCAAGGCAATCGCCGCGTGGATATCGGGGTCATCGAGGATTTGTGAGGGTACCTGATTCAAGACCCTTGGCGCCCTCCGCTGACCTGTTTCACGGTTAGGATATGGCGCGGGAGGGATTGCAATGTGGCTGCCTTAACTGCCCTTGTTGGTGATCGCAGTGGTTTCCTCGACGGTCGAAGTGTCGTTGTCGTCGAGTCTTTGTCTTGCCTGCGCCTCTGCCGTGCGTCTTCCAACGAACCGTCTCTTGGGCGTTCTGTTGCAGGAAATATTCTCGTCTGCGGCGGCCGGAAAGGCACCAGGCATCGACACCTCATCCATCTCCTGCTGCAGCCGTGCCGTGGGCCTTTTTGGGTCGAGTTTGTGGTTGATGGCAAGAATTGCAGAAAGAATTGTCAAAAACAGGGAAACGCAGATGCGGGGAACAACGAGATTCCGCCCGCAGTGCCATGTCGCCCTGTGTCCATGTGTGCATGTGTTTGTCACTCAACTTTCCTCGCGCTGCCTGCATAGTCTCCACCGAGCCACCTGTCAACAGTGTCGAGATCGTATTAACAAGGACTCCCACGTCGTTCGAATCCAGCCACAAGCCAGCCAGCTCCATGACCTGCCTTCCTTCACCCCCAACATGGTCACCACCTCAGGCTTCAGCCACACCCCGATCACGCGCCTCCTCGTCCTGAGCTCGGTCGGCGTCTCTATCCTGGTCTCGACGCTCTCCATTCAGCACCTTCTGCCCATCAAACCGTACCCGCACCTCTGGCCATACCTGCAATTGTCCCGCCTCCTCACCTACCAGGCCGCCTACACCACCTCGACCGAGCTGCTGTTCTCCACCACCCTGCTGTACCAGTTCCGTGTGCTCGAGAGGATATGGGGCAGTCGCAAGTTCGCGAGCTTTGTCGCCGTGGTGCTCTGGTGCAATGTCGTGGTCGTGCCTTTGTTGGTGGTCGTGTTGAAACTCGGCACCCTGGGCTGGTATAATTACCTGCCGAGCGGGTCGACGGGACTCGTCTTTGCCCTGCTGAGCGCCTGGGCTGAGGAGGTGCCGCGCATATACAGGTACAAGATCGCCACAACATCTCCGGCCGCGACGACCGCCGCCGGCGGGCGAGAACAGGTGCCAGGCGTCGTGTTGAGTGACAAGTCGATGACGTACTTGCTAGCAGCACAGTTAGCGCTCAGCCAGTTTCCTTATTCCATCCTGCCCGCGGCCGTCGGATGGACCGTAGGATCGGCCTGGATGGGCGAGTTGTTGCCCGGCGGACTGGGGAGATGGAGGATTCCGGCCTGGATAGTCGGCGAATCGAGCAAGAGGAGAGAACGGGGCCAGTACGAAGGGCTCAGGCGCAGGTTAGAGGAAGAGGGGAGTTCGGCGGACGGAATGAGGAATGTGAGCGACCGTGTCGGCGGTGCTGGCGGTGGTGAGCAGGAGAATCGGCGGAGAGGCTTTGGGAGGCAGATACTGGGCTATTTCACTGGGTCTTCTTGAGCGTGCCGGCCATATCTATCTGATATCCCTCCAGCCGGGCGGCCCTCAGTCAGATCCCCGACAAAAATGGCTCAAAAGCCGTGAAGGGAATCTATTCTCTCTCTGTGTGTCTCCAGTAGAGGTTCCAACAATCTCACCCTTTTTAACTCCCAGTAAGATACACACTCCGAAAAGGGGAAAAGGAGGGCTCAACAGCGTCCTCCCCTCTCACGACATCACAAGACCTCGAGATAGGTGACGAAAAAAGAAAGACCCAGCGAGGGTTCATATACTGAAGATTTCCAATTCTAGATACACTGTAGAAACCAAAAATGAAATATTTTGCTACCTAGTACAATCCCAGCACTGAGAATTTAGGGTGTCACATGTAGTCTAAATGTCCTCGACCGATGAATCCTTCTTCCGTTGTCGCAATTGGTTGTATATGTGGCAGCCTGGTTGATATCTTCCCTGGAGCTCTGTTGTCGGCCTTGGATATAAGTTAGGTCGGGTTTTGGCGTAGAAGGCAATGCAGCAGCCTGCCAACCTTGGAAGATCTGGTCGAGATCATTCTACAGTTTGTCGGGCGCATCGGCCATGGCACATGACTTTTTTCTTGCGGTTGGACAATCAGCCTCGTCCGTTCAGTCTGGAAGGCGGCTGCTTGTCCTTCCGGAGAAGGCCCTTGAAGACTGAGACTGAGACCGAGGCTTTTAGACGGAGGTAAAATCCGTCTTTCACCAGGAAGCTGCATCCGGATTCATCCCTCACCGGTATTCTTGACCTGGTCCTCAAAGGCTTGCTTGTACATCCTCACCGCAATATCCAAACTTTTTACGCTAGGTCCAAGCAACTGCTTGACGACATGCCGTCCACCCTTGACCGAACCGTGATGAAATTTATGTCTTCTGCCTGACCTATCAGGTCGTTCGCTGAGCTCCTTTTCCTTTGCTCGGATGATTTCCTGCCTTTCCTTCTCCGCATCCTCAGCAATGGCATTAACACGCTCTAGTGCCCGGCTGAGGCTTTCGACCAGACTGGCCAGTTCGTTCGCGCGAGATGGGTCTCCGGACAGAAATGCGTTCCAGAATTGCCGTAGGAACTCCACCGTCGTGGCGTGTGTGAGGGTGAGTCGGTCGTAGATCTCCGTGCTGAGCCCAGAGGCCTCTGGTACCGGTGAAGTCTGGTCCCGGTGGGCTCGGATGAGGGAGAGGACATGTTTCATCGCAACCGAGGAACCGCTTTCCACCTTTGGAGAAGAGTCGTCATCCATCTCCTCGTCGTCGCCCTCCTCGAACTCACCAATAGGAATGACACCTACGCCAGGCTGAGAGAAATGCGTGGATATATCGGCGTGCACGTCTTTTATCGCTTTAGCGGGATCAATGTTTCGAAATGGGTTGCTTTCAACGGCGGTACTTGCACCAGCTTGACTGTCGGAGAAGAAACGGCTCTGATCGCGGATGTTGAGAATAATGCGTTGTTGTTCTGGATTACCTTCCAAATCGCGTAGTTTAAGCTGTTCATACGCGGCCTCGGTCATGCCAATCGGCGCAGATGCATCAACATCGGAGGGTTTGACAGCCGCCATGAGCTTCTCACTGATGGCGTTGAGTTTTCGAATAATGGGCGCCTTGTCTAGCATTGTAGGCCGCAGCTCGGTTTCGGGTCGATTGCCGTAACCAAAGTGATTTTCCTCATTTCCCTCAAGGTCGATAAACTTGGGAATGTGCATCTCGGTTGCTGTAGGTCGAAGACCAGTAACCAAAGGGTGGTTCAGGTAATGGTCGACGTCGATATATTGATCCCTGGATTCCCTCATTGGATCAAATTTGAGGCCACGAAGTTTCATGAGCAGCTGGCTTTGGAAAAACCTCGACCAGAAATCTTTGTCGTCAGCGATCTTGCGGGGGACAAGTTCGTCATAGACGATTCGCATGACCGGGTACTGTTCGAAAATGGCACGAATCTGGTCTTGCCTAAGGCTCATCTTGCCACCATCATCCTTTCTGATCCCGGCCAAGACATTGAAGCTGCCTTTCCCTTGACTCTTGGAGAGGGCGTGGGCTCGGAGGAGATGGACGCGGGAGGACCAGAATTGGGTTCTAAATTGTGCATCAGACATTGACTCGGGTTTGAGACTGGCCGCTTCCTTGAATGTCTTCTGCAACATGGGGTCTTCTTGCATTAAGGATTGCTGGAGCTTAATGTCGGACTTGAGCCGCTCATCATCTTCCCAGATATTAGTTGCTCGACCCATGCCGGAAATGGCGTTGGCCATTGTCATGGCTGCGGATTGGCCCGCTGAGGCAGTGGCAGCAGCATTTTGAGCCGCCTTCTGTGCTTGAATGACATTTGCCAAAGCCTCTTTTATGCCGTTGGCCTCGCCCCGTGGATCTTTAGAAGACGTAAAAGTGAAGACGTGGGCAACTGGTTCTGACTTCCCGGGATCCTGCGCAAATATTTTGAGCATCACCTTGGGATTCGTCTCGGGCGTCTGCTGGAGATTTGTAATACTCGCCGCAGACAGCACCAGGGTGGGAGCCGCATCTGGCGGCTGGGCTGGAGTCCATGACACGGACTTCCTGTCTTTGGAGATTGATAGGATCCCGGGCTGTTTCTTATATGAAGCCTGCCCTTGCGGAGGGGCCATTTGCTCTAGATTATGATTTGCACTAAGTGGAGATCGAGGAGAAAGATTTTCGATCCGTCGAGTCGACGGAGTCGTGTGACAGCGATGGCGGAAGAATGACTGGCATTGCGTTCGCGATTAACGTGCCTTGGGACCGTTCCTGGCACTGGGCGTCCGGAGGTCCAGGATTTGGATCTTGATCATTAACGAGTCATCCACCACAACACGGTCCAGTCCAGCCTTGTAGCGTCGAGATATGAAGTAGAAGGAGAGGGTGAGGTGGAAAGGAAAAGATACATGAGGTTGTGCAAAAGGCGTCGAGTTCGAGGTTGAATAGGCAAGAAAGGGTTGACATCAGTGACAAAAATGCCAAGACAAGGCAATCTAGCAGGGGGGAATACGGCGAGGTATACTTTCAATGCACGCACTATCCTACGGCGACGCATGCGATGAACCCATGGAATGGAAGGGGCCATTTGGGCCGTAGAGGAAAGGAGAACAGACAAAACATTGAATTTCTTCACCGGGTTTCGAGTCCCCATTTCTCGTTGGCGTTGCTTCTTTGGTTGAAAATGAACGAAATTCACAGTCGGGGAACAAAGAAGAAGCTGCGAAGCAAAACACGTCGTCGGCTTCATTGTGAGCGCACTCCCCTCTCCCTCGATCGATCTTCTCTGTCCAATTTCTCATCTGATTAATTTGTCCACGAAATCCTCGCCCAGGCCGACTTTCTTATAATGCTCGCGAGCCAGCTTGAGCTTGCTGAAGACGTCTTCCACCCCTTCTGCCTTACCGTGGGGGTCGCAGTACACATACGCGCCCGAGACGTGGAACAGCGTGATCATTTCCTCGCAGTCATCCGGCACCACCAACGTGTGCGTTTCGCCGGGGGGCTCGAAGCTGTAACTGCCCGCTTGCGCCCGCCAGTCGTGTTCGAGGTAGTGCCAGCGCCCACGGAGCGTGAAGGCGTGGACCGGTCCGGTGTGCTGGTGGCGAGACAGGACGCCAGCTTTTCGAACCCGGAGAATGTTGACGAAGTAGCCCTGGCTCACATTGAACAGAAGAGGCCGAAAATGAACGGATGGAGCTTGTGGCACCTAAAATCAGTTTAAAATGTCAACGACATCTAGTGAGCAGGGTGGATTGGAAAGGTGAACGGAAGACGCATGCCAGACTGACCCATAGGCGTTCGTCGGTGGTGTCAACCTCCATCGCGCCGGCAATCACCAAGTCTGCAGGCATCCCGTAGGGCTGGTCGCCTTGAAAAGGAATTGCTCTGTTGTCCCTTTCAGCGAATCCATTTCCTTGGACCGGAGCTGTCATTGCGTGTTTCTGTGTCGCCAGCGTTCGATTACTCGATCCGAAGTCCCAATATTGCTTTGTCGAAGAGATTGTGAATGCCTGGCAGTTTGTAAGTTTCCTGGACAGTAAGGATCCTGGCTACCACTTTCCCCACAAAACTGTCGCACATGATATAGGGAACATCATACAGCTTAGCAGACGGCCTTCGTCATAAGAAAGAAGTAATCGCCGGCCATGAAGCCGACTTGCCGAGTCTGTTTCCCCGGCTTGCGGGGGTGCCCTCTCTCAATTCGAGCAAGGCTACATCACATATTTGGAGTCGATCGGGACTACATAGGTGTACCTTGGTAAAGAACCAGCAGACCCCGCAGGCATTTGTCCGTTGTGCTCAATACTGGGCTCCGGTTATGTACTTCGTCATACCCAGGTCAATCGTCTTCCCGCGGGTGTTGTACTGGCAAAGATTGCTACCGTCGACCGATTCCAACACGAGACTACAATTCCGCGCCAAGTTTTAGAGAGGTTGTAGCATTTCCCTGTCCTGTGTCTTTGCTATTGATGTGTACTGGGTACCGGCGGCTCTTGCTCTCCAAAACATTGGCCGCCATTGACCGAAGGATTACCCTGTAACTGACAACATGTCACACCAACCGCCCGAGCGATTCCTACATCACAAAGTTGCCATCATCACCGGCGCTGGGGCTCTCGGAGATGGAATCGGAAACGGACGCGCTGCAGCTCTTTTACTAGCTCAAGATGGTTGTTCGGTGGTGTGTGTCGACTTGAAGCACAACCTGGCCCAGCGGACGGTCGAGATGATTGAGTCAAATGGGAACGGCGCCGGGCTAGCTGTGTCAGCTGACGTGACAAAGGAGGACGAGTGCCAGAAGGTTGTAGCCCTAGCTGTGGAAAAATATGGGCGTCTAGACATCCTAGTGAACAATGTCGGTGAGTTGTTACTATATCTTAGACACAATTGCTGCATTTCCTGTTTTTGACTCTTTTGGGGGTAGGAATTACAGGGCCTAAGGGAACCACGACGGAGGTCGACATGCAGGCCTTTTACAAGGCGATGGAAGTCAACGTGGGAAGCATGATCATGATGGCCAAATATGCCATCCCCGAAATGAAAAAGAATGACGGCCAGTGCGCAGGGGCGATAGTCAACCTCGCGAGTGTTGCGGGTCTTCGCGGTGGCCATCCAGCCATATTCTATCCGACGTCCAAGGGATCCGTCGTCAACCTAACCCGTGCGATGGTATGTTGAATGCCGACGATGGCATGGACATCGTCGTCACGTCCAATCCCGTGCCCGAAACCGAAGGCATCGACTGACAATCAAGTCAGGCAACCCACCATGGGAAGGACCGCGTCAGAGTGAACTGCGTCTGTCCAGGTGAGTTGATCTGCTTTGGAGAGTTCCAAAGAGTGCTTGATTTCGATTCTGATTAACACGTTGGAACGTTCAGGAATGGTCTACACTCCCATGATGTAGTAAGTAAACCAAGTCTCAAAGAGGGCATTCCTGCAAAACATCTGACATATCGGGCACACAGCGGCGTCGAGGGTGGTATGTCCGAAGCAGAGCGAAAGGCACGGGCTTCCCGCAGCATCCTACGCACAGAAGGGAGTGGTTGGGACGTCGGAGCCGCGGTGCGTTTTCTGGCTTCTGATTGTGCTCGATGGATAACCGGTAGGCAGCACCCTGCCAAAGAAAGTGGATTCCATACTGCACAGTTGGCAGTCAAAGACAACGCTGATGGAAACTAGGTGCAATCCTGCCTGTCGACGCCGGTGCCACAGCAGCTGTAGGACTGGGTATCCCAAGTCTTCACGACGCGTTTTTAGGGACAGAAGGTGAAAAGTTATAGTCACAGGCATTCTACCCCGATGATAGTCCCCTGATCTATGTTTGTGCCCCCTACGTCTGGGATAGACTTGACGGTGGCTTCTGCGGGAATGATCGATTCATCCAACAAGTCAACAGCAGATGGGGGGGGGGGGGGGGCAAAAGTATCTATGATATGTACCTAGGCACGTAGCGAAAAGGCTTCTAGCTAGCTATACACGTCACCACTGACTGCTGTGAACCATAGATTCGTCACTTTATTTCTCGGCCATTCCGCTCGTGACGCTGCCGGTGCTGGAAGTCATGCCGCCGTCAATGATGAGCTCCTGGCCGGTCATATGGCGGGATGCGACGGTGCTGGCGAGGAATAGGATGGCGTTGGCGACGTCGGTGCTCGTGCCCATCTCGCCCGTGGGCACCTGGCCGTGTCTCGTCTTGATAAACTCGTCGTAGTTGCCGCCGTAGTAGTTCGCGGTCCGGGCCAACATCGGCGTGAAGATCAGTCCGGGAACCACAACGTTGATGCGCACGCCCTTGTCGGCGTAGATGACGGCCGTGTGCTTGGTGAACATGTGCACGCCCGCCTTGGCCGCCGCGTACGCGGCCTGCGGTTTGCCGATGTACCGCAGACCCGCGATGCTGCCGATGTTGATCACACTCCCAGCGCGCTGCGCTTCCATCACGGGCAGCACGTGGTGGCACATGATATACACGGACTTCAGGTTGACGTCGAACTGCTCGTCCCAGACCTCCTCGGGCATCTCGGCGGGCCCGCCCCTGAGCGCGCCTCCCACGTTGTTGACGAGGATGTCGATGCGGCCGTGCTTCTTCACGACGGCGTCCACAAAGCCCGCCGCCGAAGCTGACTTGGTCGCGTCAGCCACCATGACGTCGACGACCGCGTCGGGCACGTACTTCTGGATCCGGCGCTTGGTGCGCTCCGCGGCGTCGAGATCCAAGTCGCAGCCGAAGACCTTGACGCCGGAACGCGCGAGCCCAAACGCTGCGGCGGCCCCGTTGCCCCAGTTGTCTTCGACCGAGGGGTCGCCGTACTGCCCGATTCCCGTCACGATGGCGATTTTGCCTGGAAGGTCGGGGTAGGATGGTATAGGCTCATCTTGGAATGCGGGTCTATGAGTTGAACTTGGCGATGCCATTGACTGTGTTCGTGCACTTGGGGCGTTCTCCTTGTTGGAGCCAGGCCGACGGAATAGACGGTAACCGGCTGGCTCTTCATGGTATGAGGTCGGACATATGAAGGTTAAATAGGACCATGACCTTGAGGGGAAAGCAATTAAACCAAGGTAGTGGTGACACCCGCATCTCCAAATCTCTCCAAAGCAATGAATGAATGTTGGAGTGGTACTCTGGAGTCCCCGCGAGGTCGATAGCCTACTCCATATTTATCCCGGTATGTGGCCTGTGCATCTCGGCTCTCTGGCGGCAGAGATGCCTGACGCATTCATTGAGCGACAATTAGTCCCTGCAAAAAGGAATAAAACAGCATTCTCGCCAATCGCGCTCCCAAATCTTGCTCTTGTGAATCTAACCCATACTTGGCGAGCTTGTAGCCAAGGCACATCTATACATAACGAGATACTCGGGTGGGTACGAAATAGCGGCAAGGCTGTGACAAGGTAGGGACTCGGGGGGTATTTGCAAAAACCATCCAAGGCGACGGCGACGGCTCTTCACTCTTGAAACAAGGGCCAAATTCACCCGAGCAAGTCATTCATGTCCATCAAGTCTGCAATCAATTTCATACTCTTTTCTTTCTGGGACCAGACAGCGGGTATCTTTTTCCCTTTCTTTATTCTAGCAAACACAAGGCACGTCGTACGACATAGCAAGATGATGCTTCTGACACTTCCGTATCAAACCTCGCCTCGAAACCAACAACTCTTGCAACGCCAGACCATCTTCTCCTTTACCTTCAACGTCAGTCTTCATTCCCTTCAATGATCTCATAACCCTCGCTCCCTCCAAGGCCCTCTGAGTCGTCATCGCCCTCTTCTTTTCCATCCTCCTCCTCGCCGTCATCGTCTTCCTCTTCATCTTCATCTTCGTCTTCCTCAACCTCACCATCTACCGGTTTCAACCCATAGTCATCCTGGAAATAATTTAGATCGCGGACTTCGGGAGAGAAGCCCGCGCCTTTTAAGCCATCGGTGATTGCCTGTCGTCGAATCGATATTGTTAGCTCACCTGGTCCGAGATAGATTGCCAGTCCACATCTCTCGCACGAATAGTGCAAACAGGGGTGAATTCAGGGACGGCAAAGATCAACATCGAATATCAGGAATACTCACCTCTTTCAGACCCGGCGCACATGTCACCACGATATCTGCCTTCCCAGGTAGGAAAATATTGAAAACCACCTTCTCAAGCGCATCTTTGATGTCTTGCACACTCACTTGTCGCACCCTCTTCAACATCCTCTGCATGTGATCATCCGGCAGACCTTGCATTACGCTTCGAACGAAACTCATCCCTGCGGCACTCGCAAGGGTTGCTTGCTCATTTGCAAACATTACCACGATAGAACTGATCGCTCCTTCCAACATAAGTGGGTCGAAGTCGACAACCCCAGTCATGTAGCCAGAGACTATCTTTCGGGATGCTTCGAATGCTTTGTATGCATCGGGGGAACGGTAGACATCTAGGTGGATAAACCCAGATTCGACGTCGAAGCCCATGTTGGTTCCATACGCTAACCCGGTGCCTCGCACAGCGACCCAGAGCGGTCCCTCGACGGCATTCATATATGCTAATGCGACCATTATTGCGGGTAATTGCGGGTCGTCGTAGGAAGTCGGTCCGCGGGCCACGGCGAATGCGAAAGACGAGTCAATTGTCGGCATCGGAACGACGTAGGCCAGTTTCCCGGGATGCATACCGGCTTCACTGAGTCGCTCGATGCGACGACCGATGGGAGTCATCTCTTTCGTCGGTTCCAATTTCTCCAGGAAGGGTTTCCATGTGCTTACGGGCTTTTGCACCTTTTCTAGATTTGTGATGACGAGGACACGATAGTTCTCGAAGCGACATAGTAATTTGCGTAGTCGCTCCAGCCGGCTCACGACTCGTTGGGGATCCACCTTGAGCAAGTACCTGATTCTCTTCAGATAGAGCGCCTTGACCAATGTAGTCCTTGCACGGGTTATCGATTTTGGAGCCAAGTGTGTCATGAAGTGAACCGTCATCATCATGTCATCTCCGCTGCGCTTTGCGTCGGGCACGTCTGCAAGAAGTCGAGTGTTTACAGCCTTAAGCCGCTCCACATCAAAGATGGAGTTGTAAAGTAATTCGGTCAACCACTTGACGGCCACTCCGTACCGTTCGTTCTCCACCTGGAAACTTATTCTGATGCCTTCAACATTGCCTAGGTTGTTCGCCGCATCAATCGAATAGCCTACGGTATCCCGCTCGAGCTCGGTTACCACTTGGTGGAAATCGATAATCTCATTACCCCGCTTGATCGGTAGGGTCCAGAAAGCTTCCATGTAGATGGCCAAGAGTGGTCGTAGGTCGTCTGGAAGAGTTTCGGTAGAAATAATCATGTGGACTCGGGTGAAGTTGGTTGGTATGTGTTCGAAATTGAGAAAGAGCGGTACCTCTTTTGCATCACCATCAATGATTTTCTGGTACTTGTTGTTTCGCCTCCCGAGATCCAATGCCCGCCCTGCTCGAGCGCCCAGGACTGTCACAAAATGGATCGAGTCTGTCAAGGGGACTTTAAATTTTCCTAGCAAGTCCCTTGGGATCTCACGGTCGTTCTCGGCCTTCGCCTCCTCCAACTTTCTTTGCATTTTCTCCAATCCTTCCGGGCCTAATCTGGCTTTTTGCTCTTCGATTCGATTGGCTTCATCCGCCTTCAGCTTCTCTGATAAGCGTGCAGAAGGAATGCCCAGGGTCGACACATGAGGCGCATCAGAAATGTGCTTCCTGATGAAGATTTTCCACTGTTCTTCCGTCCAGCTTGTGAGGATCTCGGTATAATGTTTCAGCGACTTCACAATTTCCAAGGTTGACCCATCTCTGTTTCCGTACAGGTAATCGGAGATGATGAAGTCCACAAACGCTGTGGCGGAGCTCTCCGCATTGTACTTGCTTGTTCTCACCACACGGTCGATGCAATCCTTCATGAAATCCATATTCAGAGGTTGTTCCATCGCGTCTTGTAACACCTCGAAGAAGCGTTTCTCAACCTCCTCTAGCCGCTTGGTCTCGACGCTGGACATGGAAAACTGGATCTCCGTCCGCGGGCGGCTGTCGAGCTGGTAGAAAATCCCGCTTGCCAACTGCTCCTTTTCCACGATGACATGGTCAAGGAGTGCAGCCGAAGAGCCGGCGATATAGTTGAGAGCAACATTGAGGGCCCCTACCTCCAACGCATCTGCACAGTTAGGGCCCAAGAACCGAATATCAACCTCACCAAAAGATTCGTCCTCTTCGGGAAACTCGACTCTCAACAGCGTCGTCTCCTCCAACGATGGGGGCAGTGTGGACTCCATCCATGGTCGCTTAAAGGGAGCGTCTGGACGTGGAATGTGGGGTAGGATCGAAGTTTCGAATTCATCCAGGATGGCCAGCAACTCGTTATGCTTCGCTTCCCCAAAAATAGCAACGCAAAGATTTTTTGGCTGGTACATTTCCCGGTGGAATTCTCGAATGCGGTCGGCGGTAAGGACACGGAGCTGCTCCAGCATGCCTCCGGTCTCATAGCGATAGCCCACCCCTTCGGGATACAGGATCCTTTTGGATTGGAGCTCGATCAGTTCCGACGCCGTGTTTTGCACGCCCTGCATCTCCGAGTATACGACACCAGCATCGTTGCCACTTCCATCGATATGATGCACTTCGGTCGTACAGCCCGCATCCGTCAAGGTTGGAAGAATGACGTGCTCCAGGTAGACTGGTAAGATCTGAGCAAAGCCGGCCCAGCCCGCAGTTTCTAGAGTATATGCTGTGTGGTCAGTAGCTGTCCACGCGTTGGTGCCGGCATATGCTCGTGTGGCGAGTTTGTCCAAAAAGCCCTTGTATTTGTAGCTCTTGGACCCCATGAAGCAAAGATGCTCTAACGTATGCGGTGCCCCAGAGTCATCGTGGATCTCGGTGGCCAGGACAAAGAAGCCGTGCAACTTGGGGCCTTCTTGGTCCACCACGATGACTCGCATGCCAGTGCGCTCAGACTCATACTGCGTCAACGTGCAGGGGCAGTAATCTGGCTCGATTCTTTGGTGTTGTCGGAAGCGGGGCTTAGCCCGGACGGAGACCATGTCAGCGAGGGAGGGGACCTTTGTGCGAGCCTGATCAAAGAGATATGAGAATTGCTGCTGAAATGCCCAAGTCAAATTAGCCTGATGGTCCTTGCCGTGGAGCAGCAGCGGGAGGACGCGGTCGAGAGCGTTCGGAATCAAAGTCGACAACAAGCACACAAGCAGAGAAGTGAGAAGGATCGCAAGCTTTGCGCGCATGAGAACCTCCAAATAGTTCCTCAGGAGTTGTTCCAAGCAATGCGGTTAGCAAGGGTGGAAAAGGATCAAGCCCCCAACTCAACAAGAACAGTTCTTTAATCATCAACTCACCGGCCGTCAGATGTGCTGCTTGTATATGCCTTCTTCTCTGGTTTACCGACTGCTCGACCCCTAGGCTGGACAATGCCGCTAGAGACAAACGGTTGCAAGGGAGCGCAACGAACGGCGAAGTCGTCGATCAGGTTGGTTCAACGAATGTGATGAGTGTAACGGTGAAGGCAGCAACGACCTCGTGTTCGTCCAACATTCGCTTGCTTTTGAGTTCGGGGTTTCTCACTAAGAGATCAACGGACAAGGAGGCGAGAAGGATTTGTTTGGTGGTGGTGGCGGTACCCAGCAGTGGTGCCTGGGTCAGATCTTGCGCCAACCGCCAGTCAGCAATTTCGCCTCGTCACCATCGTCGCCGCCTCGCACAAGACATCAACTCTTGGCATCAATTCCGGTCCCATACTTGGTATGTCACAGCGATACGGGAGATATACACGAACAGTCTATTCTCAGGATAGATTGATTTGTGATTATTTTACAACTATGCAGTTTGTGCGTATAATATGTCTCTGGAAGTTCCACCTCGCCCTATATACATCCGAAGGGGAGCTCCGCAGGGGAGCTTCTATCACGCTCACTCTTTATACCATTACCCAAAATAACTTTTTTCCAATTTCCGCCAGAATGCTGATGTATGCTTTGCCGTCTCAGAATTCTAAACACTGCAATGCCCCTCATCGTTTCGTAAGGACGCCCATATTAGACATTGAAAGTGCTGAAGTGCGGGATCGTTACGAGGCGTTGGCGTACAGTTCTGAAAGCGTGTTCTGTCCCTTTCGGAGGGCCCAAGTCTTTTGCTTCTTATCTTTCTTCCTCTTCATCTCGGCCCACCCTTGCTCGTCGTCATCGTCATCCTGGAGCGCCAGCGGGGATCTTCGGCCGAGCGTATTAACGGATGGCTTAGTGGCATGTCCGGATGGTCGGCGAGTTTGGTCCATCGTAGACCAAGGTCGCACACTCGACGACGTAAATGTTGATGCTCGATGAGTAGACATCACATCTGGCTCAGGAGCGGTGGAGACGGGCCTGTATCTTGATGCTAGGCCGATGTTGCTACGCTCCGAGGGCGCAATTGAAGGCGCATAGTTTCCATTGACATTGATGGATGGCAGCATCGGTGGCTTGCTATTCCAGGGCGCCATACTGGGGTTGAGAGTACTCATGGTCCTCTGGTTCGCTTGGGGAGTTGGGGGATTTTGCATCGCCAATGACTGAGGCCTTCCAAACGCTGGCATTTGTAGACCCGGAAGGGGAGGCATATTTTGCGGTGCAGTCATCGGTCCTACCATCATGTGTGACATTTGCTGCATCCATTGCATTTGCATCTGCATCATTTGTGTCATCTGTTGGGACATTTGGATCTGCGCTTGATCCCCCGGACTCAGCATTGGGGGAATCCCCGGCATTCCCATGGCCGGATAGCCCATGGGGGGCAGAGTTCCCGTGGTCTGCGACCTCACCATGCCAGGAGGAGGTCCCATTGGGGGCATGTCGTAGTTGCCGGCAGGGTTGGGACTGCCCCTTCGGGCAGCTCTAGCACGTTCTTCTCCGGCAATAACTCCGACAAGGCCTGCAGGGTGTATCGGGTGGGCAGTTGCAGGGCCAGCTCCTAGGGGTGGGCCAGAAGGATGAAGGGCCAGAGCCTCACGATTTGAGGGATTGACAAGGCTGGCTCCGTAGTAGGGATCAGGGGGGAGCTGTCGAGCAAAGACAGGTAAGTTGCCTCCTTTGGGAGCCTGGCTAATTACCGACGGAGCCCCTTGCGTCTGACTGACGCTGCGCAAGTTGGAGTTCGACGGGGAATTCCCAAGACGTGTTGGTGGCCGATTTTTATTGGGAAACCCATGTGCCGCGAGAATTCCAAGCGGCACATCCTCATCTTCTTCTTCATCCTCCCCACTGCTCCTGCCGGACTGCTTAGACTCCAAAGTCATCCGCGATAAGCGATTGTTGAGATCGGTTGCTGAGTTGTTGTCGGCGGGCCGCAGCATGCTGAGACTACTCGCCGACCGATTTTGTGGCGCTTCGCCTGTTACCTTCATCATCTTTTGCCGGTATACGGCCAGGTGAGCTTCTTGCTTTCGACGTTGTTTTGTTGCCTGGCGACTCCGTTCAAGCTCGTCATCGTCTTCGGAATTATCGCCCGCTTCGGAACCACTGTCATCAGATAGAGCACCAAGCCGCCGGTCCATCTCTTTTTGTTCTTTATAACGTTCCCACTGTGCGGGCGTCATTACCTTGTTCATGGCAATCGACTTGGCTGGCACCGGTTTGGCCTCCTGGTACATATTGGCAAGCTGGGCATCGGCAGCTATAATTGGATCAAACGTGGCGCTATGTGTCGAACTCGGAGACAATTCGCCGTCGACGTCTCTAGCAGGAGTTTTCAAGGCTGTATTGCTGTCCGCAGACTTGGTCTGCATTAACGGCGTGGGTTGTAGCTCCTCCTCTTGTGTAAGGGTTGTTTGACCCACTGGCACTCTCGCAATAACTGTAGATTCCGACATGGAGCCGTACCTTCCGGGATGGGATGCAGTTTCTCCAGCCTGCATGGGACTTCCCTGGGTAATCGTCTTGGACGGACTCGGAGACCGCATCAGACGATCGTTGGAATCATGGGAGGCCCATGAATAAGGAGATGATTCAACGATTTGGGAGCGGTCGGTAGAGATAGGCTTAGGAGGAGCCGCCCGGTTGATACGGACGGGACTTGCCTCTGGATAAGAGGTCGGAGGATAATGTGTAGGAGGAGAAGATATCGAGGCCTGTGAAACATCAGCACGAAATATTGGGAGAACTTTCGGAGCTTTCTCGTACCTGTTGATGTATAGGCCGGCTGGGGACCGCGTCACGACTAGACCCAATATGGTCAAACATGTTTCCAAACTCATCCAATTCGGAACTCTCCAGTGACAAGTCGGTATCAAAGAGTCTTGGTGGTGTGGCTGTACTAGTGGTGCTTGTCGTGACTGCCCTGTTTCTGGTGGTGTCAATCAATGGAGGCAAAGCACTAGTTGGTGAGGCGGGCGATGCTCGACTCCCTTTTACCACCCCAAAGGAAAATGTTCGGGCAGGGCTGCGGATGAAGCCAGGCCGAGTCAACACGGAGTGTGGTGCGGAAATATCGTTGAAAGGCCTTGATCCAGCACCTCCTTGAACGTTTTTGTCTGACTTTGTGTCAATGGAAGAGGGATTTGTCGAAGACGTGCTGAGGCGGGCAGAGGATGCGGCACTGTCGTTAGGGGCTGTAGAATGGGAACGTTCAGTACCACCACTTCCCCTAGACAGTCTTGTCAGTCTTATTCAATTCGAATAATTAAACCTTGATTGTGTTCTCCGCGTACCGGTTGCTTGCATCTGGGCGGCCCAGTGCAAATAAATCCACCTCCTCGTGGTCAAAGTGATCTTTTGGCGGTGGTGGCGGTGCTCCAGTAGCCGCTGTCTTCAAATGCCTTCCACCATCGAAAGATTTTTCTTTGCTTGCTGGCCTCTCCAGAACTCTGAAGGAGGAGGACTCGCCGGGAGGGTTGCGCACCTCGTCCAAGGCATTGCCTGAAGATTTCCGTCGCTGAAACCCCTTGGGTAGCTTGATTGGCATGAAGGTGGCTTCGGCGGAACGCGACGGTACCCGATGGGGACTGTTGAAGGACAGGGCCAGAGAATGTCTGACAAGATGGTCGACTTTGTTCGGACCGTAACCAAAAGGCAAAGAGGTTTAGCTGTGCAAGACTAGGATGAAACCATGGGAAGCAGTTGGACAGCGAACGGCAAGCTGCATACAGAATGTGGTCAGCAACCACTGCCCGATGGCCCAAAAAGATAGTGTCAATTGTCGCCCTACAACAAATAATTGTAATGCTTCTTTGGACCTTTTCCCCCAACTTCTCTCGTCAGCAAAGGGCGACAAAAAGGACCGGTCCCGGAACTCTCAACTGATGTGTCGTTACGGAATGATGGGTATTGCTGGACCAAGCGTTTATGTCAGAGGGTAGAACTGATCGATTTATTTTTGGACTTGTATAAGCGAGAGAATGCCTGCAAGGGGGGTGGTGTTGGTGGTAGGGGGACCCAGGGTTACTGAGAGGGCGGTCGTCAAGCGAACTCTGAGACGAAAGGCGAAAGGGGTAGCGATCGAGATATCCAAGAATCGGAGTAGATGGACAGATACGAGGGATGAAGATGGGTGTATTGATTTCAACGAGAGTGAAGAAATGTGAAGAGGGTTGAATCATAGACAGACAGCGAGCAAGCGAGTGGAAGGGGAGTTTTGGAGTTGCGGTTTTTCGCAGTCGCAGTTTGCAGGGTGCAGGGTGCAGACGCAGGTGGTAGGTTTAGTGCGCGTGCATGGATGGTGTTAAGCGGGCTGGGGGCGCCTGTTGGTCTTTTGGGGGGACCTGGCGAGCTGGGGGGAGGGGGTGGTTCGGGCTACTAGGTAGTCGGTGTTTATTGCTACTCGTAGGCACCTAGACAGGAACGGTAGGCTCAGGAACCAGATGGGCGAGCCAAGCTTTGGGAGGTAAGTGATGCCGGCAAGACACGGCGGGCATCAGGGTCCAGCCACCATGTAGTTTACTCTTTGGATCGCATTTTTGAGCCCATCGGACACCTGAACAGCCTGTTCACCGTGGCTCCTTAGGCCACTGCTCTCCACCTGAGCCACTCGTGCCAAAACCACCCGCGTAATAATCATGCAACCATTGCAGTTTAAATAAAGGCCCCCATCGCCGTAGCCCACTCGCGCCAGTTAGTTCGAGGGTATTATTGAATTGGATATTTTACCTCCTCGCATTTGATTGATTGAATTCGCATATGATGCTGGACAGCTTTCTTCCGCTCCCTCCCTTAGGTACCCGGTAGGGACATTCTCCCTCATGACTGTGGCGGATCGACTGTGTGGCTTTGTACTCGGTATTCCTATTGTTGCCCCCATGCAAGGTTCCCGCCATCTACTGGGTACTCGCTCGCCTCCTCCTACTCCATCCCCTTCCATACCACATGCACTCGCAATCTGTGATCCACGGCATCTCCCGCTAAACTTTGTCTTTCCTCTTACCTCCGGATCTCTTTTGATGTGGCTAGACGGCTAGACCTCTAGCCTGTGTTGATGGATGCAGCATCACCTCAAACCTGCCACTTTTGTAAGCTTTTCGGCCTTTTCATCTCCGCCTCTCCGAGATCTTTGACAGGCACGTGTTGCTTCTTGGTCCAGCAACAGCCAATGCCTGATGGTCGAGTCCGTCTTGACCGCCCGGTCATTTTGCATGGTATACGTAACTCACTAGCGGTGGCTTGTTGTGCTATCCTTGTCCGCTTCTGGAAGTCCGCAAGGTCCCTGGGATACTTGCGTCTTTCGGCGTCATTTAGCGCCAGTTTCTTCTGTACTTTTTCTGCTCTTTCACCGCAGCGCATCCACTGCCCACGGTGAGGAGAAACTTTGTCTTCGGATAATAGTGCACAAAGAGGAAAAGGTCATGTTCTTGCCGAGCAGGACGGAGTATAGCCCGAGCCAGGCGAACGTCAATTTCAAGTCATCATCCTGGTCTGTCCGTCTGTGGCTTGCCGTAGCTTGACCATCTCCGCAAAAGGCTTGACAAGTTGACGGATCAACCTCCTAGTAAACTGACTGAGAGCTCTGCTAACGTCAAGCCAAGGATGTGACTGCTGGTGACCTCCTCTTGTGATTCGTGGTGGGGAGATTGTGCATGGGACAACTTGTCAGGTCTGGTCGTCGCTACGGTTGATCTGCACGGCTTTGTCTTCACCTGCGCTGAGGATGCCAATCTGGCTGTGCCAGCACACTGCAAAAACTTTGACACCATCACCCGCCGCAGGACTGGCAACGCCATTGAGGCTTGCTCTTGACAATGTATACAGACTCTGCCCGACCGCGCCCTCCTTCTCCTGCCTGGTGCTTCGGACATCCCAAACTCTACATGTCCCGTCGTGACTGCCACTGACAATGGTGTAGTCGTTGGTGGGATCTCGGGCCAGACTGACGACTGAATTTTTATGGCCCTTCAGGGTTATGGCCGTGACTGTGGCGGCGGAAGTCCGTGGGTCCACCAGCTTCACCACACGGCTGACCGAGCCGGCCGCGATGAGATGAAGTGAGGGCATATGCTCAATGCAGAGCAATGCGCTTGACGTGGTCCGAGTGTCCACTGGCGAAGCGGTGACCAAATCCCAGGTACGCACTGTCTGGTCCCAGGATGTGGAATAGCCCACCGTGGGATCATTGAGATCGAACATGACCCCAGAGACTGGTCCCGTATGCTGCTGCATCAGCGTGAGGGGGCCGCGCTGTGACACCGCAACCTCGCTATTCAATTTCCTCCTCTTGCCGTCCTTGGTTCTTGTCTTTGGGACTAGGGCTTCAGGTGCTGCGGGCGCATCTGATTTTCGGGAAGACCAAATTCCAACGGAGTGATCAGAGGAGGCTGACAGTATTCGGAAAGAGGCACCGTGGGGACACACAGATTCTACCGAGGACTTGTGCCCATAGAGCTCGATCTGTGGTGACAGATTGGTTGCAAACCCTTCCTGATCCGAGTATTTCCACAATCTCAAAGTGCGATCGAACCCTCCCGAGACAACTTGAGTGGGAGACACGAATTTTGCGGACTTGATGAAAGAACCATGTCCGCCCTGTGCCATGCCGGGAGATGTCGCGACAATCTGGGAGGACAGATTCCATACTCTTAACAGACCATCGTAACTTGCAGTAAGAATTCGTGGAGAGGTGGAGGACAAGACGTCAACGTCGCTGACCCAATCGTCGTGCTCAAAGGATGCCACATATTGAGGGGGAATGCGTGCTCGTACGTATTCGATGGAGAGGGTAGTCTCTGCGGAAATGCCGTTGCTCGTTAGGTACTCGTCCAATGTAGTCCGAAGATAGGTGCCGTTGATGACGAATTCCAAAGGGATCGTCTTCTCGGTCTCAAGGAGGCTGTTGACAAGAGTAGAGAGTGCCAAACGGCGGAAAGACGTAGGAACAAGTATTGGAGCGATGTCCGCGACGGCGAGTTCTGTGTCTCGAGTGGTTAGCCTCACCCGTACCTGCGTTTGACTTCCTGCAGCGCCAACGCGGTCCGAGCCTGACAATGCGGCCATGATTAAATCTTCTGACTTCCTTGCTCAGGGGAGGGCGCCGTCTATCAGACCGCTGATGCACCAGCGCTCGAACAGACGTTTCGTGAAGTATGGACACGAGAAGAAACATTTTTACTCCCCAAAATATTGCGGACTGAAAATTTCCGGTGGGGCATAGAGACCAACATCGGCAACGTGGAACGTCTCTCGGTCTGTTCGTGGGACTGCCTTCGACTGCTCAAACTGCTCCAGCGGTTGTCACTTTTTGCTTCGAAAGAATCGACAAAGCAGCAAACTTTCCGCGAAGCCTTCACGATCAAAACTACGCGAGAGATATGCCTGATGAATCCGACGCGGCGGTTTCCCTGTGCGACGCCATAGTCCATGGCAGTGTCCCGCAGTCAGAACAGCTCATCACCTCCGATCTGTCGTCTGCAACCATCTCTGCGCTCCTTGCCCAAATATCCCAGACACGGCGTGTGCTCAGTAAGGAGATCAGAGAAAAGAGCAGGGACGAGGCTGGGTCGGTTGATCAATGGATCTCCCGGGCAAAGAAGGTTCAGGAGGACATCGCGCGTTGCAAAGTCGAGTCCAAACTCATCGTCGAAGAGCATCGGCAACTCGAAGCCTTGAGAGACCAGGCAACAGACTACCAACGCAAAGTTGAACTGCTTGAGACAGAGACCGATTTCACTGAGACCCTTAGACAAGAACTGCGCAATATATCACTGGCAACGCAGTCCTTGAGAGACGTCGAGGAGCGTCTGGCCAATGATGACCCTTGTGGAGCTGCCTCAAAATTGCGAGAGCTGGATAGAAGCCCTACAAGCAAATTCAAGTCTAGGTCAGCAACAATTCTTCGAGACTTGAGGGACGAGTTGCGCCTCAAAACTCGCCTGCAGCTGGAAACAAAGCTAAATGCCCAGATTCTCATTCGGAGAGAGCCACAGAAAGCAAGCCTCGAGATTTCAAGCCATGAGCTTGAGTCCGACAGAATCAATTCCGATGCCATCCTCCAAGCACTTAACGACACGGGTGACCTGCGTGATTCCATCGAACCCCTGACGGATAAGCTTAGAGCACTGATCCTCCAGCCTCTTCGACGCTCCGCCCGATTGAAACTTTCGACTTACCACGTGGGACAGCATTCCTTGGACATCGAACTCTGCACAGCCCTCCCGTCTATAGACTTGGTCCTTGATTTTGTGCTTGATTTTATAAACTTTCTGCACAAGTCACTCGCGAAGACTATACAAAGTGCTGCAGTTCACGCGGTGCTTGCGGACCTCATGAGTCTCCTGGTGTCGGATTGGCTCAACCCTGAGCTCCCAGTTGACCTCGCAATGCTGGATGATCTCGATAAACTGCAACAGAGAGTAACTGTAATTCTGGACAAGCTGAAGTCATTGCAATGGACCGGGCAAACCCAGCTCCAAGACTGGATGGATGACATCCAGCGTACTTGGCTGAACAAGCGCAAGGCTGCGACGCTGGACGCTGTGCGAAAAGCATTTGCTTCTGCAAAAGGTCTTCTTACACAGGTCACGAGAGTAGAACGCGAGGTAATCTCAACAACTGCAGAAGAACCAAACGAAGCCGACAATGGATCAAGTGACTGGGACGCTAGCTGGGATGAAGATGCCAAGGACCAAGCCTCGACAGAGGGAATCACAAATGCGGGCGACGGTGAGGTAGACGACGACACAAGCGGCTGGGGATTCGACGAGGAAGAAAACAGCGAAGAGAAGGAATATAGGCAGAATGGCCACGTCGCACAGCAGGACGAGGATGACGATGGAGATGCCTGGGGCTGGGATGATGAGAGTCCTACGGAGAAAAGATCAGAGCAGGTAGCTCAGGACGGTGGCAGCAAGGCAAATGGTGCACAAGGGACCCAAAAGACCGAGCACGAGGTCACATTGATGGAAGTCTACAGCATCAGCGAGATCCCGGACCATCTCATCGAAATCATCGGCAGGGATCTGTCGGACGCCAAAACTATCGAACGAATGGAACATAAGAGCCTCGACCCTTCAACAACATCAAAAGGACTCCTGGCCTTGCCTACATTGGGTCTAGCCATGTTCCGCGCCACAGCACCCAGCTACTATGGTGCCTCCTCTTCTCTGACCGACATCCACCGCTACAACGACTCCCTGTACATTGCCGAACGACTTCGCGAGATGGCCGTACCGGCGGCCATGCCGCACATCGAAACTGACATCAAAGACATGGAGAAGTTCGCCAAAATGGCATACTCGAAAGAAATGGAAACTCAGCGCATCATTATATGGGACTTGTTGGAAGGGGCTCAAGGATTTACCGCATGCACCCAGTTTCCTTACTCACAGGAGATTGAGAACGCTGTTTCTTCGGTGGTCGACCGGATTCGCACGCTGCACGGGGAGTGGAAACCCATCCTGTCGACGTCAGCGTTAATGCAAAGTATCGGCTCGCTAGTGACAATGGTCATCGCCAAAATGATCTCCTCGATCGAGGAGATGGACGACATCTCGGAACCCGAATCGCGCAAACTCACCGCCTTCTGCCAGCAGATCGCCAGCCTGGACAACCTCTTCCTTTCCACCCCTCCAACCGCCACATTATCAACCACGACCACCGAAACCACCGAAACCCCCGCGCAGCAACAAACTCAAAATGCCGTGCCCATGATAGCAGTGTACGTCTCCAACTGGCTGCGCTTCCAATACCTAATCAACATCCTGGAGAGCTCGCTCGTGGACATCAAGTACCTGTGGACGGAGGGCGAGCTGAGTCTGGAGTTCACCGCGGACGAGGTCGTCGACTTGATCAGGGCTCTCTTCGCCGAGAGCCCCCATCGGAGGAGCGCCATTGCCTCCATCCGGGGCTCGCGACTGTCTCGGTGAGCAGCGGTGATGGCCCTGCAGATATCCACAAATAAACACAAAAAACACACCCAAACGTGTGCGCACGTAATCAGTAAGAGCAAGAACAGCATCCGGCGAGATGAACCGATCTGCGAACAAGTAGATACACATATCGAGGAGTACTACTGTGTTCGGGATGTGGAACGATATGATCTGATGAGGACGGAAATGGAGCTGGCAACACAAATACTCGTCGGCTCCCTATTCACTTAACGACTTGGCCGGCACAGGCACTATTAGTATTCAGCATTGCATTCTTTTCCCCTCTTCTTCCTGAAATCACGCAGATATATATCTATATATCTATATATATATATTCTAGTTCTTATATAATATAATCTTAATTAGTACTAGTTTAAATGACTAGTATAATTATATATTCGTAAAGTTATAAATTGTTATATTAATCTAGGGCCCTCTTAGACTAGCCCATAAGCTCTCTTAGAGTAGACCAGCGAGCCCAGCGGTCTCATGGGCTGCGTAAGACGCAGACTTACCTTGATAGCCCAGGGCGGCCCAGGGCTCTCAGGGTCACACGGGAAATTTTGTTGATGCATGGATAAATTTAATTCGTTTAGCGGCACTCCTAGGGCATGAAAATATATTATAGTTAATTCTACAGTCGGCAAAATGCTACGAAATCAATACGGCTAACGATGATAGCTGTACAGCGCTAATGTAGATAAGCTGGCTTAGCCACGACAAGGTGGTATAGATTCTTCTCGAGAGGGAAGTAGATATTAACACTCAAGGAGGAGAGAATAGGAATGCGCTACAAGCAGCATTCTCAGAAGGTCATAAGAAGGTGGTGCAGATCCTCCTCGAATGGGGAGCAGATGTCAACGCTCAAGAACGCGACGATGGCACATCCGTAGATGGACAATAGATGCAATGCTGCGGCAGCGTCGACATCGTGCACGTCTCACGCTGTGAGCCGCAGGGCTCTTCAGCGCCTGTTAGGCTGTGGACCAGCGCGTAGGACTATATAAGTGTTCGCACGAGGGCGATCACGTACTTTCCGTAAATGATATCCATTGAAGCGGCAAGACAGTCAGCCACATGGGTGGGGCTCGCTCCTACTTGGTAGAACTGTGGTTGTCAACGTCATGCGGACGCGCGACCGTATCCGGGTCGGTTCTCAGCTGTTTGGCGATCGGCGTGCACGTACGTGAAAAGGGTGCTGTTCGACACGAGATCGCAGCACAGGCCATTGTCAGCGGAAGCTACGGGTGAGATAGATATACCATACTTATGCACCGTTACAACGTATATATCATGTTGAAGTTCTGGGAAGACAAGTGTTGAAGTCTAACCGGGTTTGGCGCTTCCTCAGACGGCGAAAGGAGACGAGGTATTCAAAGGCCATATTCTGGCATTTACGAATGGGAGCGAGAAGAAGGATAGGGTGGTGGCTTCAGAGCATAGTGCGATTCTCGGATGGTCGATCAAAGGGGGATAGAAAACCTGCTCGCGCCTCACCCCAGATCTGTGCTCACTCCCAGCTCGCGCGAGTCAGGGTGAGCCGGGTGATCCCTCACCCGTGTCTCGCACATTTATGGGGGCAGATCCTTGGCATCTTGGTATACGTGGAATCAAAGTCGCCAGTGATTACTCCGTACATCGACGAAGATCACGTCGGCGGCATCGATTGGTTCACAAAAAGTACCCTCTCAGGCCTTCGAGCCTTGCCAATGGAAATCTGGTCTCAGCGAAAGCAGCGCAACATTATGTCAATTTGCCCTCCCGATCGTGACCGTGGTACCACGTTGTTTTCGAAAGTGACCTTTACTCCTTCCCTTCCTCCCCGGGACTCCATAGTCTTGTCGAAGTTCCGGCCTCCTGGAGAACCTCGCCGTTCTAAAACCCTCTTTACCCTGTCAGCTTCTTTCGCTCCAGCTCAGCCCACTTTGGCGCAGTCGCCGTCGACCTTAGCTTTCAAAGATTCGTATGGCGTGCAAGCGACGCTGCAGCTTCTGTGGCTCGGGCAAGCCACCTGCTCATTGACCAGTGGCAGAAAAACCTCCGTGCATGTCTCACGAACAAGTGAAAATGTGGAGTCGCAGGACAAGCTGCCTTCGTTGCTCCGCCGACTCGTTTTGCCGTGTAAAATTTGTGAATTCGATCATCATTGTCATGGCGATTGACTGTGGAGTGGTCACCGAGCTCCAAATCTGCCTGATGGAAGTCACGATGTATACATGGGTCATGAGACGATGCCACAGCCACCATCTTTGTGACACAGTCTGGGCCGAGAGCTGGAGAGGAGGTAGAAGGTCTAGGAGTCCGTGAGCTAGCGTGCATGCGAAGGTCAAGCGGACCCCAAATTTGCCGCAACTCTGAATTCGCCAAATGGAGGCGGAACTTGCCTCTGGTAGAAGAGCATCTTAACTTTGACTGACCCGTTGGAGCGAGGAAACAGTCATGGAGTGGTTGAGTACGAGGAAGGTCACCACCGTGCACAGCAAGGAGTGTATGTCTCTCACTTGTTCTCCACCCGACTCCTTCCTCTCAGGTGTCTTTGGAATGTCTAAGAGATTGAGCAATGTCGTATAGTTAACTGCGGAAATCGCGAAACTCGCACGATTAAACAAAGCGCTTAATGACTCTTTATTTCTCAGAATTCCCCAAGAGAACAGGCAGCTGTATCTCAATAAGGAACTAAAGGCTGCCGACCTTAGTATATCCAGCCCTCAAAACGCTCGATCAGTCACGGCTAATGTCTTTGTCCCCCTCTTCAGGACCATAGCGCAGGAATGAAGGCACATGGCACTATGGCTGCTAGGATGCGGATTAAAGAAGGTAAAACGGCTGCCTATTGAATCTCTCCATTTAGCTAGCAATGGTCAGACAGGGATGCAGATTACTTGGTGGTGTTTGCCGTAACCCGCCGAGTCCGGAACGAAAACAGCGTGGAGTTCTTCTGTCTTCTGTAGGATTAATCTATAAAAGGACTGTAATGGAGACCAGCCAGGTACATGAATTTCATTTTCAAGCTTCCGTGGACAACTCCCCCGGAGGCTGACTCCGCTTTTCTTTGCACTTTTAGATTGTCGACCGCACCGCAACCCTCAATGTCGAGTCTCGTCATCCATGTTTTGTAGTATCTTCATCAGAACTCGAGTCGTCGAGCTGCCGTTCCACAGGTTGTTCGCTGGCAGGGGTGGGATTGTTTCCACTCTTCGACAATGGCCACCACGATTTGGCTGAGCCGCTTCCACCTGCCGAGCTGCTTGAATCTTTGGCCTTTTCGTCTTTCTTCTCTGTTCGTGTGCTGACTGGCCACCATTTCTTGCCGTCTTTCGGAGTCTGGTCTGTGCTTTGGCTGTCAGACTTGCTTGATTGCTGTTCCAGGCTTTCGATATATTGTTCCATCAGTGCAATCAGTTGTTTGTCTTGGGTTGCTTGCGCATCACCAAGCAACTGCTGAGCCAATGTTAGGTCGTAGTCATCCCTACTCAGCTTCAAACGTGCATTAAGAAGCACTTCCAGGGCGTCAGGACGTCTGCGTTCGATTGCAGAGAAGATGGGATAGAACAGCTGGGTGGTCTTAGAAGCCATCCTTTTGATGATGTCCAGGGGCTGATTGTACTGAACGGCTGGTAATAGAGCTGCGCCAACGCGATATGTGTAGCTGCCTCGCATGCCACTTTCGAAAGCTCCGTGATCCAGAAGAATGCGTACGAATGGTGCGTTTTCAGCACCACCTTCACAAGCTTTACTCAAGATGCTCGTCATATTGTCACTATACTCAAAGGTAACGACATCGGGTGAGTAGGAGCAAATCAACTGAAGCATGTCCAAGTCGAATGTTCGTTTGAGGAGCGCCCCGACGACTGCACCAGTGTAAAAGTCAAATGCCGGGTACATCGAGTGGAGGCAACGGACGATGGACTGCTGTCCGTGGGAAATCGCAGCTGCGAATAGGGTTCTGGTGGCTGGTGGACCTTCTTGTGGCACTTCGAAGTGCTTCGTGGAATCATCGCTACTTTTGGCGCCGAGCTCATCGAACAGCGTTTTTAAGATATCGACCCGACCATCTTTGCATGCTTGGATCATTGCTTCCTGCTTATGAGACAACGTCTTCGGATCCGGCACTTTCTGCTCGGGCGAGGAAAGAGATTGGGCCATTTTTGCCCTTAGAAGTGCTGACTCCAAAAGGAGAACAATGACAGAATTCGGGCCAACATGTGTTTTCTGCTGATGTTTGAGCGGGGAGTTCCACCATATTTGTATTTAGCACACAAACATTGCAACCGTCTCACTTGACGCGGACCAGTGGTGGTCAAATCCTAAATTGGAGGCTAGCACCCAAACTCAGACAGGCCAGCGGGCTCGGTAAATGGGACATCTCCTGGGGAATGGCTACACTAGGTGTGGGCAGCGCCTTGCTGTCAGATACGCGCCGTGGTCTTGCGGACTTTGTATCTACAAAGAAGGTGGAAAGGTGGTTCGACACGCCTCTTTCGGCCAGCCTGCCTAGTGGTCAAGAGAAGGCCGCGGCCGGTCAGGCTTGGCGCTTCGAGCTTGATCTTGTTTTGGTAGACGCCAACCCTAATTAAACCTAATCGCTTTATCTAATGTCTCCAAGGCTGCGAGTGAATAATCCTCGGCTTTTTCAAGGTGTTCAATGGCCTATTTGTAACCCGAATTGTGGCTGATGAAAGAGTTCGTCTGGCCGATTTTGGACTTGAAGCCTGACAGCTCTACCGCTTAAGCAGACGACCCTTGGGTCAGCGCGACAAAGTGTCAGGTCTGGCATGGGCAAATCTGTCTCGTGGGCGCGAAGCACGCGTCCACATTGATCGACGGTGTATTGGTATGGCGCTTCTTTTGATGGTGACTGACTGGGAAGGCCTGCTTGCTCAGCGGGCAGGAAACGCAGCTATGGACGCCGCGACTTGATCTTGCAAGCAGCTGCCGATGGAAGCGGATGGTTGAGCTAGGCCAGGAAGATCACGGCCGACACAGCCTTCATCCTGAAATTGCAAAGCGCTATGACAGAGCATACTAGACCTCTTCCTCGTTCGAAACAGCTCACATGGTATCATGATCATATCTTGCGAAATGAAGGACCAGATCTATGGAGGCAACGTGGAGGGGCATGCAGAGAGCCGCATAGAGTCATGGAGTATACTGCAAGCCTTTGGAGTGCTATATAATGAGGACTTCCATGTTTCAATCAAGGCAGCCTCCTCATTCGAAAAGCACCCGAATACTCAAAAAGTATCATCTTCCGACGAGGCGAAAGCCAAAGAGCCACGGATTCTCGTCGTCAATTTACAGCACAAATTAATCTCTTCCCGAAGACAAGAACGATGACTCGGCTCTTGGCTTTGCTGTCAATCTGGCTGGGAACGCACGTCTTGTCCGCTACGGCTGGCACTTGCTTTTCCGATCAGTCAAACGGACCGGTAGCGTCTCCCAAAGGAAAAACAGCGCTTCCCAAGAAGTGTATCGGAGGACCTCCCACGGGAGGGTTGTGGGCTTGTGAAGATCCGAGTATTGATTTTCCGACGGTTGAGTGTTTGATGGCGGATATGAAGACATGCGGAATCATCACCAACGGTGCCCCAAGTGTGTTCTACTCCTTCAATATCAAAGGGGGAGCGCAGATTTCTGCACTCCGCGATCGAATCACACCAACGGGCAACCTTTACAACGACGAGTGGGACGAAGCCTACTGGACAAGGGTCATGACCGGTCGAAAGTCGGTTTTCCGCCTGGATATCAACGCGAGGTTGCAGGTCCTCATTGCTCGCTCTGCAGAGGCGTTTGGTCGACTTGCCAGCGGCGATGTCTTTGTTTATGTTCCGCATCTAGAATGCCCAGAAGAGCCCAATAATGGGTTGCTCGGTTCTTTTCAGACCGATATTCCTGACCCCAACGATCCCAACCCTGGTCCCAATATCTTCCAGACTTTTGAGCTCCCAAGTTTGCAACGCAACCCTGCCGTCACCCGAATCATCAGCGTTGACATCAACAACAACGATCAACAACATGTCGATTGGGAGAATGGTCAATCTCCACCTGGACTGAATAACCCTCTCTTGCCTGCGAGCACCGCGAGTGCCATAGTTGTTCCGCCTGTGCCTGCCGCTATGGGGCCATTCAAACGGGACAGCAACACCAACAACACTACAATACCTGATCCACCTACACTATGTCCCCTCCCACTACCAGTCCCTACTACTACCAGCACCGTGGCTTCATCTGGAGCTTCTACAATCACCTCTCCTCCAGGTACACCTACCTGCGTCTTGCATAAGCAGGACCCTGACCAAGGCATTACCCAAGCATTCTGCCTGTGCGACAGCACTGCAACTCTGTCACCTCTTTCCGTGCCGCTAACAGGCCAGTCAAGTGACAGCTGTGCATACACAACCATCCCAGCCACCGCGAAAGAAGCCGTCACAACCTTTGCCTCCACGTACACGAGTAATTGCCAGGCTTGTACTGAAGTCGGCTTGAACGCTCCTAGTTGCACCACTATAGCCAAATGCACACCCACAAATGCACAAGTGACCGTCCAAGCGGGCAGCTCTGCCGTGCACGTCGGCACTCTCACTGGCACAGCTCTTTACACCTCTATTTCTAGCGCTTTGGAAAAATTATGCCCAACAGTGACCCAAACAAAGAGCTTCACAGTCTGCGAGACAAGCAGTGTGGCCATCCAAGACATCGAGTATGTCAGTGCCGACAGCCTCGACACTGGTGGTGAACTTGTGATCAAAGTAGCGGCAAGCTCCTATAACACAACCAGCCTCCGCGACGCGATGATTAAGTCAGCAGCCGTAACAGCCCAGAAAGTCTCTGAAAAGCCAAGCTCCTGCTCGAATCAGACGTACATAACCCAACAGAAACGTGGCGTCGGACTTCCACCATCGCGAGTCTTCGGCAGGAAAGCCCTAGACAATCTCTTCCAGCGCGACCGACCTGAAGCAGTCGTTGAACACTCTCTCCTCTGCCACACCAACTCCTTCGCTGGCGTGGGATACTTCTCACCTCAATGGCGGCAAGCCCAATTCCCTGGCGCGGAAGCATACATCGACGCGACGTGGGAGTTTCAAGCTGCTCCAGGAGGGGACTTCCTCTGTGATTTTATTGAAGACCTGGAAATCGGCTTGGCCGTGATTGCGCCGGAGTTTGCATTGCAGGATGTTGCTACTGTGCCGGAAGTGCAGGCATTCTGTGCTGGGACGCTTGCTTGAAAGCTTCAGGGACTTTGCAGTGTACGAAAAAGAGGTGGGTAGATATCTGGTTTTATTTCGTGGAACGCATAGCGGCGGAGTCATGGCGGATGAGATCTGGTGTTCTGGCGTTTGTGGTGCTGTATTTGAGCCATCTTGGAAAAGGACTGTAAATGGTCGAAAACTCGTATGGTACCGTGAAAAGTGTATAGTATATGTGCGTACAAAGTATCAGCATTGTTTTTAATTGCGCTTGACGTGAGCTCATGGTTAGTGAACATGACAGCTGGATAATTGAGTCCCAATTCTAAATTCACTACAAATAGCTGACAAGTCCACCATTATCTCAAACTTCCCACGAACAGAGTTGACAGCCTTTCTTTCTCGATTTTACATTGATTTTGCAGAGGCCAGAACATCTCGACTATTGCTTTCCTTTTGGTCGACATAGTCCATTCGATCTGAACGAGGATGTAAGCGACCGATACATGACTTCCCCAAAGTTTGAGCGACGCTCAGCACGTCATTCTCCTTGATCGACAGCGATGATGCATCGATCTGGATAGGGGCCGGTTCTTCCATTGCTGTGGGCGCTCTCTATCTTCAGCCCTGCAGATGCATTCCCAAATTTGCCAAATCCCAGCCCTCAATGAACCTCTTTCCCAGACATCAAATTCTCCTCGCGAATTCTTGCTGTTCTCGACCTCCACATCCATGACGGAAATCTCCAATGCTCACGTCATGAAGTAAACAAAAAGCGTCACTCGTGCGCGAGTGCCTAACTGGCAGCGCGAGAAAGTCAAACTTGACTTCCGTTGCTCCGGGACAATATAATGAGACATATCCGAGGTCGGAAGGTTTGATAGCTTGTACCATTGATCCTCTTTAAATCAGGCAAAGCAGAACAAATATAAGAAGCATCGAAAATATTGGGCACGTCTTCCATCTCAATATCCCTTTCACTAAACTTCTAACTAAGCCCCCAATTTCCTCTAAATGTCTCAAAAACCAGATATAACGCTCTACTTCCTCGGCGTCAGCCGCTCAATTCGAATCGCCTAGCTTCTCGAAGAAATGCACCGCCCTTACGAGCTGGTCTTATCTCCTCACGCGAGTAATGGCCTTGCACCGGAGGAGTCTAGGGAGAAGATCCCGACAAAGATGGGCAAGAGTTCGGTGATGATTAAGGATGGGGATATTGTTATTCAGGAGAGTTCGGCGCTTGGGGAGTAAGCGCCGTATTGACAGCTTTGCGAGCTCTGTGATCTACGGGAAAGGGTGTGAGGATGGGGATGTTTTAGGTAGATGTGTGCTTTTTTGCTGGTGCATCGCACGAGAAGGGTCAGACATGACAATTTTGTTGCTGTCTTTCTCACCGATACCTTTTCTTTCCTCGCCGAATACTCCCTAAACTCCCGATCTTGTGAGCTCCTCCTGTCAGCGATACTGATCTATCGCAAATAGGTATATCCTCGAAACATATGACCCATCCTCAAAATCCGGCCTCCTCCCACCGACAGGCGATCCGAAATCCCGCGCGAAAGTGCGTGAATTGATTGCCGCCGCCGAGGGGACGTTCATGATCCATGCATTGGCCGTAAGTCCTTATTCCCCTTTCTTCCGATGACATCAATTTCAGCTCGACGACGTGAAGCCGGTTCTTCAACCTCAAACATGATTGACTACACTTTCTATACCTATGTCTAATAATGGCTGTTCCCTGGAGTTTGATAGATCCTCTACGCCCGCTGGCGTCTCCCAAAACCCGCCGCAGAATATCTACCGGAAATGGAGAAACCCCTGTCCGTGAACATTCACAACGACCTGAACTGGCTGGACTCCGAACTCTCCGATGGACGGGAATGACTGCTGGTCAGTCAACTGACGGTCGCAGATATCGTCGCGCAATTCTCCATTGAATTCATCTTCGCGAGAAAGCTGGAGACGGAGGGTGGGGAATGGAAACATGTGGAGAGTTCGCTGGAGAGGACGAAGGGAAGGAAGTGTATAAGAAGACAGTGGGGAGGGCGGGGTATAGTTTATAGAGAGGGCAGGGAAAGCGAGGTAAGAGGGAGAGAGCGATCTTCCTAGACTGGCAATGCATGAGAGACAACCCAGTTTGGAGGCATAGGAGAGTTGCAAGTAGAAATAAACACCAAATGCTTCTGATAATGATATCATTCCGAGGAAAGAGGGTATCATATCCATATTGAACTCACCCTGAAATTGTACAAGGTGGGTGCACGTCCAACGCAACGTGTGAGGTACTAGTAAGGTCTTCTGTTCCCAAAAGCGTCTAACTGCTTTCCCAACTCGCGGCGCCCTACGATCGTCATTATATATACGCAATTCATGCGCTATTCAAAAATCTCATTCAAATTATAACTTTCCCTTTCTGTTACATCACGTAAGCCCGCTCCTGAGCCATATCCAGCACTGTTCAATCCAATAATTACTCGGCCTCTTCCCGGTTGGCAATTTGCTCGCTGGACCAATACTCGCCCGTTTACTTAGGCTCGGAATGGTAGAACCAACATCACTAGTGCGTGCCCTTGCGAACGTCGCTCGTCTGGGACTTTGTGCCATCGCGCCACTATTCTCATTATTCCTAACGAGGCTTTTCTCGACCACTTCGTCCATCGTACCGTCCAAGCCACCGTAGTTGCTAGACTACCCTTCGGCCGCACGCGGTCAGTAGACGCGTTTAACGCAAAATTCGAGCTGATACCGCTTCTCAGTGGTGCTCGAGGAAAGCTAGAGACACTCGCTATAATCTTCTCTAGTACTGTTACGGATTCGGCTAAACATCGGAAGGACGGACGCCTGATACACCGAGGAATAATCAGGCCACCAGCCAAGAGATGCGGCTCAGGGAGTGCATCCTTATTACTAGCACACTCCCCGCATAGGAGGCGCATTCTCTCCTCCCTTATGCTTGGAGTCGTGTACAGTATCGACCATATACTATAGGGATGACTTATATATACGCTTATCGTTAGACTCTGCCTACTTGCTAAGGAATCCCTAATAAGTACTATTTAGTTCAGATCTTATATATTTATTATACTACGATATAATATTAAATTTACTATTTTCGAATACTAATCTATAATAATTAGTAGCAGCGAGCTATCTAAGAAGTATATTATCTATCTATAGGGCGTAGTGCGACAGCGACTTTGAAGCTGAAGAGCTTTAAAGGGATCATCTGCGACCCCGTGCTATATATATATGGTCTTCTAGTGTCTTGACGTCTTAGTATTCATAATAGTAATTTAGATGAGAGATGAAGAAAGAATAAGAGAAAATATAATAAATCGAGAGAGGAAGAGAAAGAGAGAAGAGAGAAAGAAAAAGAGAAAGAGAAGTATTGTAATAAGGCAAGGTGGCTGTGCAGTGCTGAGGTGGTGGTGAACTGGCAGAGCAGAGGTCTGTTAGGTCACATGTCAAACCTAATTAGATCGCTGAGAGCAGAACAGTTTACAGTGCTGGCAGTGTGCCATTCTTTACAGTTTAAGAGAGTACGATGAATTCTATGGCTTTTTAGCGCCGTCTACCTAATTCCTGAGTGTTTTATCAGTTCTGTCCTGTTCCTCGATGCTCCCGCTGTGCTAGGTGTCTGTAGCCCCAGCCGCTGCCCTTCTAGGTGGTGTTGGTGGTGGTGTTGTCTTGTCAGTGTTAACCAGAAACGCGTTCTCGATTCCGGATCTACTGGACAGGCCTCTGTGCGTTGTTGCACGTGCACGCCGAACCCTGAAGTGCTCTGTTACAGTATTATACTATAGAGCTAAAGAATTTAGTTAACTTCGTCTAACAACCTAATAGAGTATTCTCTTAGAGATTCTATTTTTCATTAGGGCCGAAACGGGCCATCATAGATATAGTCGGTTAAAGTTACTATAAGACTAGGTGTAGGTAACGTTAGCGCGTATGAGACTGGAGCCCGAACGGAAGCCATACTGATACGTGAGGTAGCGCGATGGAAGCGGGCTAGGGCCATGAGGGAGCAGAAGGGAGTGGAAGAGGAGCGCGAAAGAGAGGAAGGGAGCAGAAGGGAGCAGAAAGGAGCGGACGAGAGAGCGATTCGACTAAATAGTGGTTAGCGGAAGAGTAAAGCGGCGGGCGATTGGTCAGCTAAATGGGCGGCGAAGGACGACTGTTCGGAGTATATATATATATTTGTGCATATCTACAGAGGACTCGCGAAATCGGGGGTGGAAATGAAAACCGCTCGCTAGAAACAATAAATTTACTTGCACAACGTAATCCTCATAAAGCGCCTACGAAGTTCTACATAATCCTCATGAGACCTCATTTCGTGTCCATCCAAATTTGGCCAAGAACGCGACCAAGCAAAGCAATGTAACCTACCCAAAAGCATCAATCAATATGGTCTCAGCAGAGAAACTTGTATAATTTCTTCCACTTGGGCCATCTCTTCCGGTCCGCTCTCTCCTCCTGCACCAGCGAACGGACGTTGAACTCTCTCTTTCCGGTAAATAGATCCATGTCCCTGGCTCTCAAAACCTTCGTCTTCATGTATATCTTGTATCCTATATACATCAACGCGACCACAGGGGCAGCAAGGTATGCTTGGAAAAAGTTCACCACTCGGTCGGAAACAGACATCTGTTGCCAGCCCACGGGGGCGAATCCGGTCCAGAACTGCGCAATCAGGACGAGGATGTTGAAGACAAGGCCGACCCAGGAGCCGATGATGCCCACGGGAGAACGGAATGCGAGTTCGTCTAGTGAATGACCTTGAAGGGTCCAAGCGTGACGGAAGCGGATGTGTGCGAGGCAAATTGAGCTCCATGTGAATATCGAGCTGAGGCCTGAGAGGGCGAGCATCCAGTTGAATGCGTCCTGCTGCTTGTGAGTGGCCGCTAGATATGCCAGTAATCCCAGGACTGAGGCAACGATGATTGCATATAAGGGACGGCCCTTGCGGTCAATGTAGGCGAGAAAGGCAGGTGCTTGACATTGTTCTGCTAATGCCGCAAGGGTGCGTGAGGAGCCGTAGATGGAAGAGTTTCCTACGGAGAGAACGGAGATCATGATGACGACGTTCATGACAGACGGGAGGACTTCAATGCCGGCGTTTTGGATCGAGATGACGAAAGGGGAGGCTCTATGGCTCGAGGGTCAGGACAGGTTCGAAGCGCAGAGACAAGGAGAACACAGAATGCGGGGACGGGACTGACTTTGCATCAGCACTGTTCCGGCCATTTAGAAGCCGGGGGTCGTCGTATGGTACGAGCGTGCCTACGAGAAGCAAGCTGACAACATAGAAGAGGGTAATCCGCCAGAATACCTGTTGCTCCAGTCAGATACCCCTCGGATGCACTCTCCATGTAACTCACCTGTTTAATAGCCGTAGGCAACGCTTTCCTCGGATTCTCCGTCTCTGCTGCTGCCAAACCAACAAGCTCAGTTCCAGCGAAAGCAAAAGCTGCTGTCACAAAGGTACTGCACAGCCCCTTGAAGCCGTTATGGAAGGCTCCTGGATGATGCCATAGACGGAAGCCCATGTAGCTCGCATCAGGCTTTCCGTTCTTGTCGACGCCACCCATGACATTGATGAGAACTCCCAGAAGACTGCGGCAAAAGTCAGACCTGAGCGCGATACACATCTGTATCGGGATGCAGACGGGATCCTTACATGTATCCGATCACAGCCGTAACCTTGACGATCGAGAAGACAAATTCTGCTTCGCCGTATCCTTTCACACCAAAAAAGTTGATCAGAACAATTAGTATCAAGAAGATTGAAACCCAGGCGGCGTTGAGAGAGATATTTTGAACCTGTTCGTCTCCGTCAACCAAATATCGCTCGCCGCCTGGCATGACCCATACCCAGTAATCCACCGTTATCGACGCGCTCACGATCTCCAAAGGTAACACCGTCAACCAATTCAGGGCATAGTTCCAGCCCATAGCGAAGCCCCAGGCGGGGTCCTAAAAAAGAGCGTCAGGGCTCGGAAGATGGGACGCAGGACGGGAAGAGTGGCTGGTTGTTCTTACCAGAAATCTCGTCGAGTACGAGGCGAAGGAACCAGCAACGGGGAATAGCACTGCCCTGGGATGGATCTTTAGCATGGCGAATCCACAAGACTCGTGGACACTTACAGTTCTCCCAGCGCCTGCACAGTGCAATACAACATACATCCCGTCAAAGCAAATGACAATAACAATGAGGCCGGTCCGCCGTAAGCCAGCGCTTTCCCACTACCCACGAAAAGCCCTGTGCCGATACTCCCGCCTATTGCGATCATTTGTAGATGGCGTCCCTTCAGCCGCCTCAGCAAGGGCGACAGTGCTGTCGCCTGAGCAGCCGCTTCAGCGTCATATCCCTTCCCATCGGCAGCACTGAATGACGCCGATCGCGTGACACTTGCGTTGGGATCTCGCTTGAAGGACTCGGTGAGGCGGCGTGTGAATGGACGTCGCACACTACCCATGTCGCCCTCATAGGCAGAAGGGTTTGACGACGACTCAGGACTCCATGTCTTTTTGTCCTCCATCTTGTATCCGCTCATGCCATCCGTCAGCGCGAGGAAGCCAGCAGGCCTGGGTCGATTGACAATGTAAGGAATCGGATGCTGTTGCTTGGATCGAACTTGGGGTCTATATCATCGTAATGGGAATGGCTATCGAAAGAGTCGGCGTCATCGTCGGGTAGTCACATATAGTGTCTGGCATCAAAAATTGAGATCCGTTGGAAGACGGGAGACAGAGGTTCTGGGCGAGGGAGAGGAGGAGTGCATGCCGCATGCGAAATGGGTGGCGACGCTGGGCTTGGGGTCACCGCAGCCAATCGTCCGGGTCTGAGAAGGAAGCCACAAGATAAGACTCGGTGAGGCTCG